CGAATGTTTGATGGAGTTCCTTCCACCCACCCATTGGCTCCAAATGGTGGAAGGTTGTTTTCAAATCGGATCACTGATCACTCCCAGGCGCCCTTGTATGACTGCGCCAATGGGGGACACTTCACTGAGTAGTGAAAAAGGTACATGCCTGTGATCTGGCTGGGAAACGATGTGTTGGCATTAATGGTTCTTGAGGAATCAGTGGAAGCATCTTCCTGCCATTTGTCTGTGTCTCTGCCAAAGAATTTATAGGGCATAAACATGATATGCTGTCTTGAAATTTTTTAAAAAAGACAGGGAAACCAGCCAAGCTCTGCGTCCCACATTCCTCTGAATTTCCTATAATGCAGGCTGTGAGGCAGGAGGAGGCCCTGGGATTCAGCTCTCTTCCCAAGGATGTCAAACACAGTGTCGTTTCCACCAAGATTTGGGGAGCGGTTTTGGAATGGCTTTGGAAGTCTGGCAATGTAGAGCAAAGATGAACTGGAGTGGGAAAAAAACTGGTGAGGAGGGGTGCTCTCTTGGGTTCATTTGTTCTTCTGGTGGTTCATATAGAAATCATTCGTTCATTCACAGAACGAAATCTGCCTTAATAGTTTGCTAATGTTTAAGGAGCGCTTTTGTGCCCAAAAAGAACATCTTAGAATTTATTAGGTTTTACTATTCAGTTTATTAAAGATTTAAGTTTGTTTTTATTTATTTATTTATTTATTTATTTATTTATTTATTTATTTATTTTTGAGAAAGAATAGAGCACGAGCAGGGTAGGGGCAGAGAGAGAGGGAGACAGAGGATCTGAAGCAGGCTTTGTGCTGACAGCGGAGAGTCTGATGCGGTGCTCGAACTCATGAACAGTGAGATCATGACCTGAGCCCAAGTTGGATGCCTAATCAACTGAGCCACCCAGGCGCCCCAAAAGCTTTAATTTTTAAACCTAGGTTTTCTTATAGATCTCATCTATACAACAAGTATTTTTGTATAAATTAAGATGATTTCCATTTGTTATTTGATTAGTACTTTATAAATTTAGAGTGAACAAATTGAATTTTAATGATTAGTACTGTTTGGAAACTTGGATAATTAAGCTTCCTTAAACATTTTAGATGGCATTCATAAGTTTAACACGCATGGTTTCCTCGAGCTCTTCAAATGTCTGACAGTGGGGACTTACCGGCCTAACAAGCAAAATCTTTCTAAGCACATAACTCTTGCAAGTCAAATAAACTAAAGTTATACGTGTCATAAATTAAGTTTTCTCAAGTACTGTAACTCTTTGTACAGCCTGACTCCCAGTCCTTAAACCTTTCATCTTAAAAATCTCAAGTCAGAAATCAGTACTCCTTCAAAATTGAAATCTCAAGACCCTTTTTCTTTAGATTGTTTAATATGCCCCCCTGTTCTTTTAAGTGTTATACATATACAGAGATTATCCCAGTGATGACAAAGATTTCATCCTATATTTAAGCGTTAATATTATGATTTACTTCATATCTGCCTTCATCTTTTGAAACCTTCATCATCTCCGGCAGGCTCCGGGGCCATTGTATGGTGTTTCACAGTCAGATTCAAGAGCAGAATGCACGGATGGCCACATCATATTCCAGAGTGATTGTTCCAGAGCCGTTGCTGAATACACTGTAGTTCTTTCTGCTGTGTCACCCGGGTCCCTTGAGCCTCGTAGCTGAAATTTCGTCTCGCCACATAGCAAACACAGATCCTCTGTGTTTCTTTCACGTTTCTGTTGTAATCAGTTTCTGTAGTCTCTTTCACCATCTCTCCCCCGACCTGGGTCAGTGGACTTTCGTACCCCTGGTGCAGGTCGTACACGGTTTCCTCTGCCACTCGCTTGGACGCGACTCCTCTTGTTAACCGCATGAATGAATTCCGAACGCTTTTCTGCGCCTTTCCTGTCAGACTCTCAGCCACATGCCTGGAGTCCTTTTGCAAACACATCGCAGTTCCCCATTCGGTAGCGCGAGGATACCAACTGACACAAACCTGAGCAAACTTGTTTTGAGCAAAAGAACGGATTTATCCTCACATTCGGTCTCCCAGGGGTGCTTCTGTCTCTTCGGAGCCTCAGGTATGGCTCCATACGGGCGCTCACACGACATCACTCCCCCTGACTCTGCTGCCTTCTTGGGCAGGTGACGATGGAGTGGCCACTGGCAGTTCAGGCTCTACCTTCATCTCCTCCCGAGTTGTGCTTTGTTCGTCTCAGCATCTCCTGTGTGGTCACGCAAGCTGGGGGACTGTGTTTTGGGCCCAGTGAAAGAGATCATCCCAGCACTTCACAGCTGTTAAGACGTGTACAGAGAACGTGAATGTCTAAGAGGGGCCCAGAAGAGCCAGCACGTAGCCCACATTCCCTTGTGAGGGTGGCATTGTTATCACAGGGCATCTCTGGAAGTATTTGGAGTCCGTCTTGGAACTCACCGACTCTGATCTTGGTGGCTCATGGCCACTCACACCCTGAATTTGGGGGAAAGGGCAAGTTCCAAGTAGCCGATTTTACATGTAGCTAGCGTTGCCAGTATCCCGAAGGATCCAGAAGTGAAGGAGGCGTGACTGGTTCTCCAGGCGCAGGGACAGCTGGTTTCTGGCAGAAAGAATGCTCTTGCTCAGCCGGGGCTTCCCTCGGTGTCCCTGCCCCTTCATCCTCGTCACTGGTTTCCCCATTCCCACCTACCCCGGCTTCTCCCCATCTGGGCCGGCTCAGCCAGGGTAACCCCGTGATGCTCCGGGCACCAGCGTGAGAACAATCTCGTGTACAGTCAGCGCCACACTTGCCTCCAGAACAACAGCTTGGCGTTGAAAGGCCATACGTGAGGAGCGGGTACAAATTCAGAGCAGAATCTCTGGGGCTTGGATTTATGGGCGTCTGTTCCTAACTTCCCTCCTTCCTCCTTGCCAGCCACCCTACCCTCCTCAATCCTCCTTCTTCCCTGGATTATAGGAAATCTTAGATATATTACACTGGTAACTCCAGAGAACAGATGCAATTAAAGACTCATGTGATTTTTTTTATCCCCCCCCCCCCCCCCACACACACACTCGTGAGAGTAGATTTGGGTCCTTTTCCATCGGTTAGGTCACGCTTTCTGCCACAGAGCTTCACATAGGTAGCCAGCCTAGTGGTATCATCCACGTGTCACCCATAAGGAAACTGAGGCACAGGAGTTGTGACTTGTCTAAGAATGAGCTGGGGGAGGGGGCTGAACTCAGAGTCCCTAGCTGGTGGCAACTTTTCGTCAGAGCTTGTCCTGTCTCGCTGAACATGAGTTCAGTCTAGAGGGGTTAATAAGCGTGTACCGTGTGCCTGGAGGTGGAGGGGACAGACTCACCCTGCAGGCGGAGGCAGGGAGTGAGGAGGCCTTTGCGGTGAGGCCCTCCAAGCCCGCGCTTCCTCCTGAGAAAGTGAGCCGCGCCACACTCCGACGTGCACTGAAAGTTGACGTAATGGAAAGCCATTTGGCGTCCCAGTAAAGAGGTAGCTCTGGAGTCACAAACGTCTGGATCCAGGTTCTGTTCCTCCTTTTACTGGCTGGCTGGTCGGTCTAGGGCAGCATTGCCTTTCTTACCTGTCTAAGCCTCGGTCTCTCCACCTGTGCGATAGAAAAACAGTAATACTTACCTTGTTCCAGTAGATCAAGTAGATGGGGTTTCATTTCTGTCGGAAGCTTACTTGGTGGAGCACTCGACTTCTCACTCCCTTGAGTTTAAATCCACAAGTGTTTACCGAGCACCTGCTGTGTGCCTGCCACCCTGCAAGCAAACAGAGGAGAAGGTGCAGCAGGCTTGGTTGGGAGGGAGGTGGGCCTTGTAGATGCAAGGACTAGGGGAGGCCTTTCTAGGGGAGGTAACATGCGAGATGAGAAGGAGGCAGGAGCCAGTGTCCAGAGAGAGGGAAAACAAATGTAGGGTCTTGAACACAAGAACCCTGTTGGCCTAGAAGGAACAGGAACCCACGCGGCCAGAGCCAGCGGGCGATGGAGAGGTGGGCACGAGGCCAGACTGGAGAGGGAGGCCGGATCAGAGGGTCTTGAGCAGCAGAGTAAGGAGTTGGGACTTTCAGTGCCTGAGAAGCCCCTGCTCTCAAGTATTAGGCAGTGGAGCCATAGGATATGTTCCTGTTTCGGAAGGATCGTCCTGCCTGCTGTGAGGGAAACAGATCGTTAGGGAGAAGCAGGCCTGGCGGCCTCTTTGCAGTAACCCAGGGGGTGCTGAGAGCCGCTGGAAGGGCACAGCGGCGGGAGAGGCGGAGGGCTGTGCGCACGGGGATACGTTTTGCAGGGAGACGTGGCAGGACCGGGTGATGGGTTGAAAGTCTTGCTGGTGGTGGGAGACGGTGATGAGGAGGAGGAAGAACAGTTGCTTGGAGACTTGATTTGAGCGGTAGGCGTGGTCTCAGTGGATTTGTGGGTTGGGAAGTGAACTCTTTCAGATATGTCCTGGGATGCTTTTAAGAGGTACAGCTGCTAATGGAGTTGACAGGCTTCTGCCGACTGCCGTGGCTTTCCTTCCCTTGGCATTTCACTTCGGGAGTGGAGTCCAGAGAATTCGGACTGCAGCCTGTCTTCCCACTGTCACCCCAGGGAGCATGCTGCTCTGGACTCTCCCTGTCCTGCTTCCAGCAATAGTCCCCACACCCGTCACTCTTCCTCCGCTGCCGGGTCTGGGAAGTAACCATCGGCTTCTACAGAGTTCCCGAGATAAAGTTGAGGGGGGTGGGAGGTGGGTGGGTCAGCCACCTCTGCTCCGGAGAGCGTTCTCCATTGGCGGGAAGGTTCGTTTCAGCCATTTCACCCATCTGCCCATCCAGAAGAGCAAGGGTAAAAAAAGGTGGTGCCCTTGAGATGAGTCACATTAGGGGCCCAAGAACTTTGCCTGGGGTCTTAGGACACAGGGACCCTTCGGGGACGGTATGCACTTGGCCACATTGTTGGCTTGAGCTGATGCAACGTGAGGTTTTTGTGCTCAGGATGTGTTTGTCTCGGCAGCTGGGATGACAGCAGCTCCGTCAGCAGCGGCATCAGCGACACCATAGACAACCTCAGCACCGATGACATCAACACCAGCTCCTCCATCAGTTCCTATGCCAACACACCTGCCTCCTCTCGCAAAAACCTCGATGTGCAGGTAAGGAACAGGCTCCCCCAAAGGCCCCTGCCAGCAGGGAGCCTCGCGCTTGTGGACCAAGGGGGCCATGTGGGGTGAGCAGAATCCCCAGGTCCGTGAGATGAGGCCTGATCCGCTCAGTGCCCGTGCACTCTTCTCCACCTGCAAGAGAAAAGGGGGAGTGGAAACAGGAATGGAGACGCCTCACCGTTGTCTCTGAAGGCCTTGATGAAACCATATTTCCTTCCTGAACTTTAGTTTCAGAATCGTCTTGTTGTTGTTGTTGTTGTTGTTGTTGTTGTTGTTTTAAAGAGGATGCTGGACTCAGTTGGTCATTCTGAACCTGGAGTGTGTCCCCTCCTGGGCCCCAGGAGCCACTGCCGTCCAGGGCACATGCTGGTCTCTGTAGAGTAATGAGGTGGGAGCAGACACTGACAGTCCTGGTCTGGAAGACCAGCCTGTCCTGCCCAGAGGTTGGCAACCGTCAATCTGTAGGTCACACCCTCCTGCTGGTGGGTTTTCTTTGCTTTATGGTATCATTCTCTTTTTAAAATCGCATCATTTCACCTGAAAAATGAGATTCTGGCTTCTCCTCAAAAATCGGAAGCTCTCGCTCTCTTGAACTTGTGTTCTCCGCATGGCAACAGTCAACAGGTGTCCAAGTGTCCCCACCCTTCAGACACATGTCCCTGTGTGCCACAGTTGCCACTGGCCAGCTGCGCCCTTCAGTGTACCTGCCAGATGCCCAGGTGGTTAGTTTTCAACCCCTCCTTGGAAACTCTGAGATTTAATTCCCCGGATACTGTACCACCTTATATTTGCTTCCAAAGTAGCTTCATGTGGGCACGTTCACTTCCTTCACAGCGCTCCTTGGTGGTCAGGGGGACTGGTTCTAGCAAGCCTGTTTTACTAGTGGAAAGCTGAGGGGCCCTCCTCATGACCAGCCTCCAAGTTGGGACTGACCAGCACAAGGACTGGTTGACTGTGGTGGCACTGGGACTGGGAACTTTCATGGTGGGTCCCTCCCACCAGTGGGGACCACTACCTCCAGTGAAACCACGTGAAGGTCTGATTGGGCCAGTCTCCCAGAAGGCTCTCGGGGAGGGCAAAAATGACCCTGCCCCCCTGCCTTCACTCCCTTCCACACTCGTCTCCTTTCTCAGCTCTTTCTCTGCAAGATAGGACCTGCTTTGGAAATTTCTGTGCTTTCAAAGGTATCTTTTTTTTTTTTTTTTTTTTTTTTTTGAGGACAGGGCTAAATAAAGAACATGTCAGAGTGTGGGAGCACTTCTGCCCCACAGAAATGTGGACACTGACTGCCTGAGGAAATATATCCGGTGTTAGCTCTGGGATTGCCTGTGACTTTTTGAATTTGCACTTTTGCCAGAATTTCTAATTATTGTTGAGTGAGAGGTGAATTGTGGCGGTTATTAAGGGGAAAAAAAAACGTGGGTAGGCACAGAGATGTTGGAGGTGCTGATGATATTCTAGATCTTGATCTCAGTGGTAGTTATAGAAGTATGTTAATTTTATAAAATGCGTTCAAGCCGTGTACTTAAGATTGTGCGTTTAGTATATGGATGTTATACTTCTATTTAAAAAGGTGATCTAAATCACCTGAGACTTAAATCACTGCCTAAGAAGCATCACTGATCAGTGATTAGACACAAGTTAGAAACACCCAGCCAGCCTGTGTCCCTGCCACCTACCCCTTGCCAACTGTCTCAGTATCTACCTGTTTTCCTTTCCTCGTGGACGCTTTTTTTTTTTTCTGAGACTCTTTCTAATTTCAGGGTAACAATAACAACCAAGCTTTTAGACTCTCCTTAGATACTGAGGTGGGGAACCAAGAGAGGAGAGAGAGGGAGAGACAGATAGAGAGGGAAAGGGGGGAGGGAGGGAGAGATGAGTAAATCAGTAGGTTTCTCTTTTGTTTACTTTTGAGGTAGGATGAGTCTTGCTTTTAAGATGACGTTGAACCAACAAAACCCTGTGTTGGAAGAATCTCCTTGTCCTTTGTTTCCCTCCCGCAAAGCCAAGATAGGCATCTGTTTCCCACGTTGATACAGAGTAAGCCTCTGGGATCTGCAAATGATTTCCTATTTGATATACTCAGGTCTGGTTAATGCCAGGACCTCCTCCTCTTTGACCATCTTTGGCTTTGATCTAGAAAATGTCACCTCAAAAAAGGTTCAAATATTACACAAACATGTCTTTTGATCAGGCTTAGAAAGTTAATTTCAAGGGACGCAAGGGGTTATATTCGTCGTTTTCTTTTCTTTGCTATAAAACTACCTGAGTTTAGGGGCGCCTGGGTGGCGCAGTCGGTTAAGCGTCCGACTTCGGCCAGGTCACGATCTCGCAGTCCGTGAGTTCGAGCCCCGCGTCGGGCTCTGGGCTGATGGCTCAGAGCCTGGAGCCTGTTTCCGATTCTGTGTCTCCCTCTCTCTGCCCCTCCCCCGTTCATGCTCTGTCTCTCTCTGTCCCAAAAATAAATAAACGTTGAAAAAAAAAATTTAAAAAAAAAAGAAAAAAAAGAAAAAAAAAAACTACCTGAGTTTAAAATATTTAAAGAAAAATTAAGCAGGTAGGTCTTGGAATAAAATAAAGGCAGACTTGCACCCATGGTTACTAGGATTCCTGCAGAGGTGGTTTCTCTGGCATCTCTTTGTTCCTGTCCAGGGAGCATCTCCAAATATTTGAATCAGCGTAAATTGCAGCCTCCCCCACTCCTCCCCTCTTACCACTCTGAGGAAAGCTAAGGGCCATTACTCCTCTCTGAGCAGCATCAGGCAACGGGAAGATGCACACTGCCATCATTCCCCAGGGCTCGTTCAGGTTTCTGTCGCAGACTGGTTTCCCCCGATCGAACGGGGAGCACACAGTGTCCCAGGCAAGGCATGGAGAGGCGGGAAGCAGCAGCGGGTCAGTGCGTCCAGCGGGAAAGCAGGCTGAGGACAGGTGGCCCGGCCAGGTTTTCGAATTTGGAAAGCCTCTGAGGAACAGCTAAAAGGAAATACATCCAAGGAACGGGAAGGTTGTTCGGAAGCCTAAGGAGCAGCCTTGTTAGCGGAGCGGATAACAGAGGAGCCGTCCCTGGGAGGTGAAAGTCCCCTTTGTCTCTGAGTGACTGTTGTCCTCGAGGATGTTAAGGGGCACTGAGGGTGCCCTCAGCGGGACGCCTATGCCCAGGTGTCCAGCACTGGGCCTGCGGTCACTGCTGTGCGGCTGGGCAGAGGATCTCCCTGCTTGAGGTTTGACAGCCTCTTGGTAGACGTTCCCCATTTGCACTGGTGAGTCTGGTTGAGCAGCCAAACCAATTGCGGTGTCAGGGAGGAGGAGAAGACTCTGAAGTCAGGGTTGAGCTCCTGCGTCTGTGGCATCCTTGGATTAGCTGATCAGACTCTTCAAGCCTCTGCCTCCTGGTCCATAGCATCACGGTAATTAGACTTGTCTTGAAGGATGAGTGTGGTGGTGGCATGGAAATACTTATCTCAACATGCTCTCTCGGTGTCTAATTCTTGGTAGGTACTCAAGTTTCTTCTTCCTTTTTCTTTTCTTTCCTTTCTTCCTTCCTCTGGGTTACCTGTCCCTCTGCCTCCCTCCTCCATTCATGTCAGTAACCAGAATTTGACTGTGTTCTTAATACATTTTGCAATTCATCTTCTGTTGTGCCGCGTTTTATTTTTAGGACGGTGTGTTGGTGGCAGATGGCTTTAACAAACACACACGCATCTCTCTCCCACGTAATCGTCTATCCATTCACGCCCTTGGTCATTCAGTGTTTCCTCTCGGTCTGTGGAAGGTTTCATTCCAGGTGCCAAGGTCCAAAGAGGCCTATGGCACACCGCCTTACATTTTCACTTCCTGTGAAGTTTTTAATAAAATATGCAAGGCAGGGCAGATAATTCCATGTGAGTTTAGTTTTTGCTGCTCCAGGAAATAAAGTTCTGAATTCCGTGGCAGGGATTCCTGTCCTGTGTGGCCTCAAATGAGCCTGGAGCTCTCTGGATGTTCTCTGGATGTTAGACTGGATTCAGGGATAGGGTTTGGCGAGGAGGAGGGGCGCCCCTTCTGCTCACCTGCTAGGTGCTGCTGTTTGTGACTTTAGGCAGGTTACTTTCCTTCTTCACCCCTGTACTTTCCTGGTCTGTGAAATGTGATAATAGTACAAGGTCAGAGGATTAGATGAACTAATAACGTATGCAGAGGGACACGGTGCCTACCTGGCAAGAGAAATGGCCAGGGATAATGCTGACGTTGCTGATGTTTTCTGGAATTATGATAGTTGAAGCTCTCAGTTTCTTGATCTGCAGGGGATGTAGGCATGAAGAGGGCAGGGTCCTGGCTTCTAGAGGCTTGTGGCCCCAAAGCCAGGAAGACGAGTACCGTGTTCACCCTAATGTAACACAGAAACGGGAGACATGCTAAAGAAGGACAACCAAGTGCTAGGGATTTTCAGAGGTGGGAGAGTTGCTGACAAAAGAGCCACTGTCTGAGTTCCTCCACACTTAGCTCATCAGGTCTCTAAGACTCCCGTCTGTCGTATCTCCATTTTATACACAGGTCAGAGCCCCAGAGGAGGTAAGCCATGCTCTCAGGGTCACACACAACAAAGGACTGGCAGCACCCAGTATGTGAACTCACGCCATGCCCGTGTTCTCCCCCCCACATCGGGCCACGTGGCCCCCACCTCGCTTCTCAGGCCCACCTGGCTTCCACCCTCTCACTTTCCCCCTGTGATCCCGGAGCGACCTGGGCCCTCAGGGGTGAGCCCTCCAGAATTTCGGGCCTCGTCCCCACCTATGTATGGTTGTTTCCCCGCCTTCCCTCTGGGATGTTGAAGGAGTGAGTGGACTTCCAGATAGGGGCAGTAGGGAAATCTTCTCAAAATTAGGCGCCATTTGAAATGAGAACAACTGGTGAGGGCATTGAGAGCCAAGAGAAGGGAGCGGCTCTTTGTACATCCCCCTGCAGCTGGCTTGCCGCCCTTTGCTTCTCAGCTCTGGGAACAGAGACACTGGGCCTTCTTCGTTGTATCCCTAGTGGTTCCCCCGTACGAGCCAAGAGAGTTTCCCAGGACAGATGCCCGCTATGCAGAGTAGAGCTGGGAAGGCTACCCGCCCTGGACCGAGTTGGGGCTGTGATGGTTGGACGATTGTTCTTTCTAGAGGGGGATTCACACCACAGTCCTGGGTCAAGACCACACACGCACTCTCTGCCTCTGGTTACATCAGCGTTCTGGGGGGGTCGCACCCAAGGCTAGGCTGGAGCTGCCCCACGGCTGGAGTTGGGGAACAGCCAACCAGCCAGTATGGAAGGAGAATCTACTGGGTATAGGTATTGTGTTAGGTGTTGCTAGGCATGCGGAAATGTCTCATGTCCTCGGACCTCTTTTCCGGGAAGGCCGTGTGGCATAGTGGTTAAGAGATGGGCTCTGCGTTTCAGATTCCCTAGAATCCTCGTGTCTCCGCTTTTTCACTGTGTGGTCTTGGGCAGTTTTCTTTTCTACTCTGTGCCTCAGTTTTCTTATGTAAAATTGAGAACATGAACTGTAACTTTCTCAGAGATTTTTTTTTTTTTAGCCCAGTGCCCAGCGCATAGTAAGTACTTAATAAATGTTAGTTGTTACAGCTACTGCTTTTGGCATTGCTACAATTTGATTAGGGAAAATAAGGTACGAGAACATGAAAACAATAATACAGTAACCCAGACTGTGGTATGTGCTACATTCTCGGTACTTCCTAGAGTGCATTAGAATGGGTCCGGGGGCGTCTGGGTGGCTCAGTTGGCTGGGTGTCCGACTTCGGCTCAGGTCATGATCTCGCGGTCCGTGGGTTCGAGCCCCGCGTCGGGCTCTGTGCTGACAGCTCGGGGCCTGGAGCCTCCTTCGGATTCTGTGTCTCCCTTTCTCTCTGCTCCTACCCTACTCATGCCTGTCTCTCTCTGTCTCTAAGAGATAAATAAATGTTTAAAAAAAAAAAAAAAAAGAATGGGTCAGAATGTACTTGAACGTAAACTCCAGGAAATCAAGGACTTGGACTTGTTCTTATTCATTGTAGTATTCCTAGTCCCTGTAAGTTTGCCTGGCATCTAGTAGCACCCGGTAAATATTTGTGGATTGAATCCTTCCAGAGCCAGTCTCTTTCCTGCCTCAGGGCCTTTGCATGTACTCTTTCCTCTGCCTGGCATCCTCCTCCCTAAACTCTTCTCAGTAAGTTTCTTGTCGCTCTTGAGGGCACTTCCAAAAGGCCTTATTACCTGACTGCCATCCCCCACCCTCATCATCGTCGTCTAAATTACGTCAACGTACTTCACTCTCATACTCCGTGTCCTTTTTCGTGTAAGATTCTTCATAATTCACGACAACTCATTTATTTGTATTTATCCAACCTTTACCTCTTTCACTGGGCTGCAAATGCCAGAAGAGCTAGAGATTAGTTTTGCCCACAGATCCTCAGACCGTCCATGGTGCCCGGCAAACAGCAGACAGCTGAGGATGTCCTGGTTGAATTAACAAACTGAAGTGTTGACAGGAAGGAACTCGGGCTGTGGTAGTTGGGACTAGGACCGGGAGTGGGTGGCTTTGGTCTCCGCTCGTCGTAAAACTGAGGGGTGCTGTCCTTACCTTCCTTGACCAGAGAGCGGTCAGGATCACAGATCATTCTGTTGAAGCGTGCAGTAGCTTGAAAAGCTTGTGTTCCTTGCTTCCCTGGTGGAGCTCCTGCTCCGTGTTCGGATGTGGGAACACCCTGTCTTGTGTCCCTCGCCACAGGTGAATGGGGGAGCTTCCCACAGTCAGGGAGTGAGCGTCCTGTCCCCCTCCTATTTCTGGTGCCTAGTACCCAGAAGGAACTCAGTATGTGTTTGAGGATGGCGAAACAAGCGAAGCCACACACAGGGTGGCTGTGATGGATGAGAGGAATTTATAAGGGGTGCGGGGTTGGGGGGGGGGGCCACGGTGCTGACAGGCGATTTAACTGGGGCTGCTTGTCAGTAGTTAGCTTTGTCTCATTCGGCAGTGTGTCTGCAGAGGAAGGCACAGGTACTACTCTGGGAGGAAAGGCATTAGGCCAGATTCTTACCAGGCAATCATTCTCATTTCCTACCCTGCTGGCATTGCCCACCGTTGGTATTTGAGTATAGCACACACAGGACGTGTAACTCAGGGTGGCCACCTTAAAGTGTTGCTAACTCCCATCCCCATTCTCTGCACTGTTTCTCCCCGCTGGCATCCCCCCCCCAACTGGCCCCAGCCCCCTAGGGAGGCCCCCAAAGCATTCTGGTTAGCTTTGCGCTTTTTCACCGCAGTGAATCATTAACATCACACTTCTGTCCCCTCCTGGGTTCCGTGGCCAGCAGGTCAGGGCTCTTCCAAAGAAAGCTGGCTAATTATATCCCTTGTCTGAACAAAATCCCACAAGAGGAGCAAAGCGGTGGCATATAAATGGAGCCGGGTGGGAGCGGGTACCTCTGACTAGCACGGGCAGGGGGGTGGGGGGGAGTGGCTTTTGAGGATTTGTTTCCTCCCAGCCCCTCTCTCTCCCTGATCCGTGTGGAACTTGCAGCCACCCTCGCTTGCTCGGGCTGTGTGTTAGACTGTGGTGCTGTGCTGTATTCAAAGACTGCTGCCAGTGGAGTGATAGGAAGACGGCAGAACAAAGGGAAACAGGCCAGGAGGCTGGATGCTGGATGAAGATTGGTCTCCGGAGTTAGAAGCCAGGTGGCAGAGAGTTGGCTGAATTCTCCCCACGTCTCCATCTGCTCATGGTTCTCCTCCGTGGGGCTCTGTCCCCCTTAATCCCCTGGCCCCTCCTACTCTCCCTCCGTACTCCCTTCTTGGACATAGTTATATCCTCTACTTTCCTTGAACCAAAACAGGCTTTCTAGCGAGATAACCAGACTGCAGAGGCCCAAACATTTTCAAGTATTTACCTCTCATCGTATTGGCATTTTTACTCGGGGCTGAGGGGCTCCTGGCCTGGCATTTGGGAAGGACTGATTCAGAGTCTCATCCACAGACCGACGCTGAGAAGCACTCACAGGTGGAGAGGGGTTCCCTGTGGTCGGGCGATGATGTCAAGAAGTCAGACGGAGGGTCAGACAGCGGCATAAAGATGGAGCCAGGGTCTAAGTGGAGGCGGAATCCCTCGGACGTGTCTGACGAGTCTGACAAAAGCACGTCGGGCAAGAAGAATTCTGTCATCTCCCAGACGGGCTCGTGGCGACGAGGCATGACGGCTCAGGTGGGCATCACCATGCCCAGGACGAAGGCGGCTGCCCCGGCAGGCACGCTCAAGACCCCAGGCACTGGTGAGTAAGAGGTTGTGCCGTCTCACCTCTGCACTTGTCGGTCTGAAAACCAAAACCGCAGTTTCTCTAGCGAGAACTTGACCTTGTTTGTAAGTCCCCATAAATGCTCAGGTATTTCTTCTTAGAGTTTAGACCCTGCTATTAACCAGCTTTCAGAAAGGTTCACATCTCTACCTTTTTCTAAGCGGAAATACGTAAGTGTGCAAGCCTCAAGCTCCAAAGGTGGTCCTGCTGCTGAGACGTGTTGATTTGGTTTCACCATGTGCTAGGGAAGAGTCAACATGCCCCAGTGCAGGCTTTTCAAGGGCACGTGTTGACGAGCTGTCTCCATGTCGAGTTAATGTTGTCCGTGATTTAGGGATGTGTGTAAACAAAGCTGGTGTTTTTGCAGGAAGGCAGAGGGTGCTGTTAGGGACAGCATCTTAATGGACAGAGAAGGAGAGGTCAGGAAAGGGCAGGATCTCTTTCCCAGACGTATCAGTGATTGGCTGGCTTTGCTTTGTTCTGGGTAAATTTAGACCGCTTTTGCGAAGGAACGAAACCATTGACATCTCCGAGAAGGCTCACGGTGACAGTGGTAGGCTCGATTATCTTTACAAAAAGCTCTTTCCTTTGCCTCCCAAGGCTACTGCTTTCCCCAAGGAAAAAGTGAACCAGTTCTTTGGAGGAGGGGAGGGTTTTTAACAAAAGGAGTCGTACCAGCTGGCTTCTCGGTTTGCAGGCTAACCTTGCTGCTCTCTCTCTTAGGAAAGACAGACGATGCAAAGGTGTCTGAGAAAGGAAGGCTGTCTCCCAAAGCCTCCCAGGTGAAGCGGTCCCCATCCGACGCAGGCCGCAGCAGTGGTGATGAGTCCAAGAAGTCCCTCTCGGGCAGCTCCAGGACGCCCACTGCCAATGCCAACAGCTTTGGGTTCAAGAAGCAGAGCGGCTCGGCCGCTGGTCTGGCCATGATCACAGCCAGTGGTGCTACCGTCACCAGCCGGTCGGCCACGCTGGGCAAGATCCCAAAGTCGTCTGCGCTCGTCGGTCGGTCTACCGGCCGGAAGACGAGCATGGACGGGGCTCAGAATCAGGACGATGGGTATCTGGCTCTCAGCTCCCGGACGAACTTGCAGTACCGGAGTTTGCCCAGGCCCAGTAAGTCCGCCAGCCGGAACGGGGCTGGGAACAGGTCTAGCACCAGCAGCATAGATTCCAACATCAGCAGCAAGTCCGCAGGCCTGCCTGTGCCCAAGCTGAGGGAGCCTTCCAAAACGGCCCTGGGCAGTTCTCTGCCGGGTCTGGTCAACCAGACGGATAAGGAGAAAGGCATCTCGTCCGACAACGAGAGTGTGGCTTCCTGTAACTCTGTGAAAGTGAACCCAGCATCCCAGCCTATGTCCAGTGCGGCTCAGGCTGCTCTCCAGCCAGGGGCCAAGTACCCCGATGTGGCCTCTCCCACGCTCCGCAGGTAAGGGGGTAGACGGCACTGAGCGGAACTGGAGTACGTGGAATGGCCTCCTGAATGAATAATTTTTTTGTGCCTTGGTGAAAAGAGCTTCTGTTTTTCTCCACTTCTGTTTGGTCGGATCCTGCCAGCGGTTTTGCAGTCAGCTGGTTGTTTGTATTTTCCCATATTGGGATGAAAAACCTGAGTCAGCATCCTGGGTTTGAATCCTGGGTCCACCTTAAGTAGCCACCATGTATCCTTTCTTAACCATTTGCTTCAGTTTGCTCACCTGTAAAATGGAACACCTACCCGAGAGTGCTTGCGAACATTAACCTGTGTAGCCGTATCTGGCCCATGGGAAGTACGCAGTCAAAGCTGGCTACTGTCCGAGATGAGATCTTAATATACCCCTAGACCCGAGTGGGTACAGAGGGGAAGGCAGAGGGCTTTTTTTACCCCCTTGTCTTACTAGTTCTCTGGGTGAGATTCTTCATCATTATGCCAGACTGTGATCTCAGCCAGATCCTTCTCTCAAATAGCCCGGTATATCCCCCACCTACTTTTTTTCATACTGCATGCTTAATTCCAAATTTGTCTCTGAAATTTGAGCTTCCTTTGAAAAAAAGAAAGAAAGAAAAAAAAAAACTTTTAAAGCAGAAGTGTTTCTGAAAAAGAGAAATTAATTTCTTATTACCTCAAAAAGACATTCTCCCTAATTTCCACACCGAATGGAAGTTCTCGTGTGAAAATACTATTATTTTTTAAACAGGTCCTTTTAAATTTAGACAAGTTCTATTTGTTTATATTGCCTCGTTATAATGGCTACTGGACCATCCTCAAACTGCAGCCGCATAGGGCAGAACTCATCTTCCCTGGAAATGTCTTATCACAGGAAAGAGTAGAAGTCCCAAGAATAAAAAATTAAGTCGCGAAAAATAAAAACTATGCGCACATGTATGTATTTGGGGGCGAATAGGAATGTTTGAAAAGACTTCAGAAGAAGCCTGCCATGTGAAAGGTATAATGAAGCAGTTCACTGGTCTTTGTCTGGACTTGATTATTAGAATTTCAGTAATGATTAATTTTTCAGGGGAAGGTCCTCTTGAGCTGCTCTTTGTTGTTTTAGCAGATTGCCTTGTAAATGAAAGTTTTCTCTGTTTCTTGCCTCAAGTATTATATGTAATATTCACTCTCTGGTATTATAGATTTCCTTTAGTAACTACAAAGGTATTTTACTAGACCCTTAGGCTACTGTAATAGAATACTGGAAAATGCATGCAGATTCTTAGGCTCTAGATCAACTAACTTTCAGCCAATGCCTGTTAATTACATTTTTCCTAAATCATTAAGAAGTGTTCTCAATTCTCTCTTTGTGCATCAGTATGGAGAGGAGAAATCTTAGATGAAGCGATAAGCTCTCTTCAAATGATTTGGGCTTCCTCTCTGTAGTGGAGAATTAGGGGCCATGAGTAAAAGGGAAAAAGGTAGATCAGATTTCAGTTTTCTAGTGGTTGGGAAGTGCTTGACAATGGAGGGTGTTACCCTTTGAAGTCGTGAGGTTCCTGTTACTGGAAGCATGTAAGCATTCTAAAGCCAAGATTCCTTGAGCAAGAGGCTATTTCATTCTCTGATTGTCATCAGGCAAAAGTGTTTTCTAATCTGTCACCAGATACCCAAGTGAGCATTGATTATGTGTGTGGATGTTTGTTTTTACAATAACTGGGATTTCTAAGGACTCTTCTGGAGAGAACAGAGATCGGGATCATACCATTGAGTAGCTGGCTGAAAGGCAACCTGCCCGTCATAACACATAGTAGTTTCATCCCTTTGCAGAGATGCACATTCCGCAAGGATTTCGGTGGACGGAATTATTTGTGTTACTAGAGCACATACCCGCCCTTTGACTTAAAGACAGTTCTTCCGCTCTTACTGGAGAGCCCTGCTGCCAAAGGGAGAGACATACGTGCCGTTTCCTGTTTTGGGGCAGCACATTTTTGGTCACGGGCAGGGGGATGACTTGGAATGACATTTCTGTCACAAAGACCCAATGTGTCTGGTCTAACATCTTGTGACCCCAGCAAGATCTCTCTCTAGATCCCTGGGTAGGACTAGCCACCCAGCTTTCAGACCGGGTGTTCACGTGAGCGTAAATCTCTGAAGGCCCCATCCAGACCTAGACTCGTGTTCTTGACTGTTCATGTTGTCCTTAGACGCCAAAGCACCCGAGTCCCTTGGAACAGAGCTGTCATAAACTGAGCACCTGCTGTGTCCCTGGGGTCTCGGATACAAAGATGATTTTGGTAGCTCTTTTCCCTCTAGATGTTTCCTGGGCCAGGCAGTTTCCCAGCTACTCCATTTATGGAAATAGAGGGAAGTAAGATCCGGGGCCACCATGGCTAGGCCTATTAGAAATTATTCTGCATTGCCCTTGGGGTCTCGGCTGCAGCTTAGCACTTGAAGCTGGAGCCTTGTGATGGCCAGTATCCAGGCCCGCTGCGTGGCGGCCTTTCCCAACGGAGCACCGTTTCAGTGGCGATGACCGTGCCCCTCCCCCAGGATTCCCACCGCTCCCGTACCTGTGCCCCACCCTCCTTTAACTGCTCGGCGCCCCTTGGTGCTGGGTGTCCGACCCGCACAACCCTTTGTCTCTTCACAGACTCTTTGGTGGGAAGCCGACCAAGCAAGTGCCCATTGCCACAGCTGAAACCATGAAAAACTCGGTGGTGATCTCCAATCCTCACGCCCCCTCCACCCAGCAAGGTAACTTAGAGTCCCCCTCAGGCAGCGGCGCCCTGAGCAGCGGGAGCAGCAGCCCTCTCTACAGTAAGAATGTGGATAGCAACCAGTCTCCTCTAGCCTCCAGCCCCAGCTCAGGCCACTCGGGCCCCTCCAACAGCCTCACCTGGGGCACCAATGCCAGCAGCTCCTCCGCGGTCAGCAAGGACGGCCCGGGCTTCCAGTCCGTCAGCAGCCTCCACACCAGCTGCGAGTCCATTGACGTCTCCCTGGGCAGCGGAGGGGGCCTGAGTCACAATTCCTCCACGGGCCTCATCGCCCCCTCTAAAGACGACTCCCTGACCCCCTTCGTCAGAACCAACAGTGTAAAGACCACACTGTCGGAAAGGTGAGTGCCGTGCACCTGTGTCTCTCAGAAGGACACCCTTCCAGCAGTCCACGGGTTATGTTAGGAGTCCCGAGCGTCCATTCCCCTTTGCCTGGAAGGCTGCGCTCTTTCTAACCGCTGCCGTCTTTCCATGGGGAAGCCCGTTTGGGATGGAAATAAGCTCGGCTCTGCTTCCCGTCATCTTTTCCCGCGTGATTATCCTCCGTGCTTGGAGGTGCTGGAAGTCTCTTGGGGGCAGGTTTCACGCTTCCGTTTGAAACGGCATTCCGCCTTTGAGGTCCTTCCTTTTTATTCTGTTCGCTCATCAGCTGCTTGTTTGCACCCCCACCTCCCCCCGTGATCATGCAGGCAGAGTAGGTGGCCGGCTGGCCGTGGCGTGGGTGGCAGGAAACTCGAGGCGGCTGGGTGGATTCGGTGGTCATCACGGCAGACACCCTCCTACCGAAGGGTTGCCAGCCTGAGTGGCAAGGCATCAAGAGGCTAAAAACATCCTCAGCGCTCTGGGTTCTGCTGCCGTGTGGTGTGTGTTAGTCTCTCCACATAGGCAAGAACGCCGGGAACAGCACTGGGAATGAGAAGAATGTTCTAATCGTTGTGTGTGACCACACCTCCCCTTTCTTCCCGTCTAACGTTCCTTCTCTTATTTTCCACCTGCCTGGACTTCTAGCCCTCTCTCTTCCCCTGCCGCTAGCCCTAAGTTCTGCAGAAGTACTCTGCCCAGGAAACAGGACAGGTAATGACATTGTAGGCCGGGGACCGCACCGAGCCTCCGGGTCCCTCTGCCCGTCTGTGTCGAGCCAGACGTCTTGTGTGAGGCTGTTGGCCTGAGGCTTCCGCTTGTGTTCGTGGCTCTGGTGCACTCTGTGACCCCAGACATGCCAGTGAGGGTCTGTTCCGCTGTCTGCTAAAGCCCCGGAGGCAGTGGGGTCTGGCTGGCCCCTCTCCCTACCCAGCTTGGGACCTTGGGACCGGACGGCAGAAGCTCTCACCTGCATCTCAGCCTTCCCGTGGCATGTTCCTGCTTCCCGGCTTCCCGCCCTCTCTCCCTCATCTCTCCCCTCTCCCTCCCAGCCCAGAACCGATCTACCACCCACCGTGCGAGCCGCTCCACCCTCACCTTTGTCTCCCCCACCCCTACTCCCCACACGGCTGGCCCTTTTCCCTGGAAAAGTCCTTTGCTGCCCTTTGGCTGTTGCATCTTGCAGGCTGTTGTGTTCTGTGTGCCCGTTTCCCATAATAACAACGAAAAAGAATCCGTGGAGTGTTGAGGCTTTACAAACTAAGCGGCTTGTGTGCCCCCAGCTGCCCTGTGGGTGGGCCTCAGAGATGGATACGGACCTTCAATTTGTGGGGGAGCCACAGCTTGGCCAAGCGTAATAACCAGATGTTGTTTTATGCTAGGGAAAAAAAAAAAAAAATAACGAAAACCCTCTTTACCCCGTCAACGGCAAAAACTTTGCTTTTCGTTGGACTCACAGACCAAGCTTTTACACCCTTGTTCTTTGGAAATGCAAATGCCTTGACTTTATCAGCCAGCAAGTTGTAACCTGCCCCAGCTCGGCCAGGGGGGGGCTCAGCTCCCAGATACGCCAAGCTAAGAGGGACCTGGAATTCACTGTTACAGATGAATTCCAAATATGCAGACCGCTGGCCTCTTGAAAGCCTCCAGCAAGTCCCTTCTCTCGCTTGGAATCATTGTCAGTGGCATTTAAGGCTGGGCCAGGGTTAGGGGTGCAGGGAAGCTGGCATCTCTCTCCCCGAGAAGCAGTGGTGGTAGGACAAAGGTGGGCGACTGGGCAGCAGGAGGTGTGGGCTCTGCTTCGACGTGGGGTGGCTCCTGAGTTGTGCTGTGAGCCTGTGGAAAAGGAGGAGGAGTCAGAGTTGAGTGGATGCCTCGGGCCTCCTGGTGACTTGGGGGAAGGTACGGACTAGGGTCAGCCAGCCCCAGGATTAGGCTTCTCTTGTTTCCTGCGGATGTGTTGCATGTGCAGCTGGATAAGGGAAAACTCCCTGGTGACGTGAGTCTCTTGCTCCGTATCTTCGGCCCCTCCTCACCTCGCCTGCTTTTCCCTGCGCTTCTCTGAAGTTCTCGTTTTTGTTTTAACTCTCCTACAGTGACCCGCACCTTGATAGGAACACTTTGCCTAAGAAAGGACTCAGGTATCTGTGTTTCCTCCTTGCATCCATGCCATCCGGTGTGGCTTTGGGGCTTGGCTGTGTGACTCTCATGGCTGGCGGGGGTTCGGGCTGGGCTGGGGTCCCTGCTTTGGCCACCACAGTGGGGCCTTCTGAACGATGGCTCCCCTGGCGCCTCTCATTCCCCTCTCTCCATTTGTTGCCTTTTTTTTTTTTTTTTTTTTTTTTTTTTTTGCTTGAGCAGAGGCTGTGCTTTTTCAGGCTTCCTGTGGTAAAAAACCATCTCACGAAGGACATCCCCGGGCAAGCCCAGAGAGCAGTTACTGCTACTTCTGGGGCCAGTGGGCTTAATCGATGAGCTCTTCACCATGATCATTCTGTTCACGGCTGTCTTCCAAAAGAAAGGACATGACTTACAGCATGTTGGTTTGTTAGCCAGGACAAGGGCAGAGGAGATAACGACTTCCCTCGAATTTGAAAAGACTTAACTTTTCGGCCCACAGAAGACTGCCAAAGACACAGGCTTTGCGCTTCCTAAATGTTCTGATCAAAAGGTGTGTCAGTTTTCAGTGCCCAACAAGAAAACATGGCTGTGATTGGCTTTGGTGTAAAGAAAGAAAAGACTGCCAGGAAGGAATGTCCTTCCATTCTTTCTAAGTCATGGCTCACTTTTGGGTGGGTGTCCTGGTTAAACAAGATGCTGTAAGTTCCCCATCGCTCACACCATCTCCTTCACTGTGCCGACCAGCGGGACCCCAGTTCTAACGCCTGTCCCGTGGTCTTATGGTCGCAAGCTGTCACTTCTCCTGCTCCTTAAACATCTTGTTCTTTGTAGCATTTGCTGCACCCTGCACTAAGCATTAAGTGCTTTCGCAAAAAAAATGGAACTTGGAATGAAATGTTTCATTGCTGTCATGTATGTCTGTAGTTAATAACCTGCCGCTCTTAAGGCCGAGAGCTTTTTGGACAGTAATGCGAGGTAGGTATCAATGCTGCCTTTCAGTAGGAGCTCAAGAAAAGCCAATTCTGAGAATCTTAAGAATAAAAGTATTGAAAATTTCCCAAAGGACGTCCTGTGGGAGCAAGTTCAGCACCGTGGCCATAGAGAGGGGGGAGTTGGCAAGGCCTTTTGTGCTTAGCAGTTTTCTTCATGCCTGTGAGGGCTGCTTGTGAGTGCTTCCATGATGGCCACTCTTCATAGGAGTCTGACACTGATGCCCCACTGTTGCCCTAAGAGGAAGCAAGCCCCTCTAAATATGAATATTTTGAAATGATATATGTGTATATATGTTTCTGCAGCAGATCTAATCTATCAAAGTGATGCAGCTCTGGGTTTTTTTTAATTATTTTAGAAATTTTCAGAATAGGGCTACGTGCTAGGCTATCTTCATGCAGTCGATGTGACCCAGAAAGTTGAATGTCTGTCAACCATGGCCAAAACATTAAGGGAGAAACTTTTTTTTTTGTCCCCTCCCACTCTGCCTCCCCCTCCTAGCTCCCTCCCTCCCCACACATTCATGTCCGATGCCAAAACACCAACTCTTTTTCTTGAGTCAAGTGAAACCCCTCTGTTGACCTAATCAGTAGTGACCCCATGGTAATCTGTATATAAGTCCAAAGGCACACTGGTCACTGTGCATTTCAGAAATTTGAGATGCTGCCCGCGGGCATAATGCGAACAGCATGGATTTTGGAATCAGACATACGATGGATTGGAATCTCAGCACGTGATTCGAGGCAGGCCCTCCCCTTCAAGGAATATAAAATGGGAATGACAGCATCTGCCTTGCCGGCTGGGTTGGAGGCATTGGCAAGATAATGTCTGTGAAGGCCCCCAGCACGTCAGAGGCTTTCAGTAGGCCATGACCAGATACGTTTCCTAATAAAGGAGGAGGTGGGCCCGTGACTTCCGTGGAACCCAGTGATTTGGGGTTCCTTTTATGGAGACTTCTCTGATAATCGATTGGAGCAAGGACTGTAAGCATCGGTGTCCTCATGCCTTCCATTACGTGTCTGGTTTCTGATACACGGGGATTCATGGCTACTTGCTTGCGCTCTAGAATGCAGGTGCCATGAGCTATCTAATTAAAACGTCCTCGAAGCTCTGACAGCAGCTCATTTTGTTGCTTCAGTCCTGTCAAGGTGGGGGCTTTGAAATGACACTATCATGAATCAACATGCTGCAGATACGCCCAGTGACGGCTCCTTTGAGCATTTACCGGTCTTGCTTTCTTGATGTGTTCCCTCCAAACTGAAAGGAATTACAGTTTTCCCCAAAGGCAGCCAAGTAGCAAAAAAGGTTTGGAGAAACTTCATAAGTTTCAGGATGTGGAGTGATGTGGGTTTTTGTTTTTTTTTTAACATCATCTTTGGATCTGTATTTCTTTTTTGTATGTTTATAATCAGCTCCACAGTGTTCATTTTCATAAGCGCTGTTCATAGTTAATCCCAGCCTAATTTCGGTCTGTCCAGGTATACTCCCACCTCCCAGCTTCGCACACAAGAAGACGCAAAAGAATGGTTACGGTCCCACTCTGCAGGAGGCCTACAGGACACCGCTGCCAGTTCCCCTTTTTCCTCTGGCTCCAGTGTAACTTCTCCCTCCGGAACAAGATTCAACTTTTCCCAGCTTGGTGAGTAGCCTCTGATCATTAGCTGCGTTGATCAGTTCCATGGGGCAGAGGTTACTCTTCTGTTGTGAAAGAGGCATGTGGTCACATCTTTCTCCGTGTCTGATCAGCCCTCAGCAATGTGGTTTGATTATAGGAGATTGGTGGCAAAAGAAAGAGGAAAAAATAAAAGATTTTGGTACTCTAGTCAGTAATTCATTTACGTGCTTGATGTAAGTAGGGTAGTAGCAAAGAGCAAATCGTTCCGTTTTTGAGAAGAATGTATTCCATTTCTAAGACCTCTGAAGATGTAAGTTTCTATCTGAAGAAATAGTAGCATACCCCATGTTTGGTCATCTGTATTGCTCTGTTAAGCTGGAAAATAAAGATCAGGTTTTGAGTGAACAACTATTCTTGGAAATGCCTACCGCTGACATAATGCTTTGACTGGCACAGTGGGGAGAGGAAAAGAATTTGTAACACAGTCCCTGATGACATGTTAATGGATTCTTTTTTAGAGGAACAAACACACCCACACAGACTCATAAATAGGGTAAAAGAGAACAACCCAAAGCTTCATATGAAACCATGTAATAAAAACTGAATATGATCAGGTAGCAAGTATTAGAAAAAGAGAAGATCAGTCCTGGCTAGAATCACTGGGAAGGGGGGCACCTGGGCGGCTCAGTTGGTTAAGCATCCCACTCTTGCTTCCGGTTCAGGTTATGATCTCGTGGTTCACGGGATCAAGGCCTGTGTCAGGCTCTGCGATGACAGCACGGAGTCTGCTTCGGATTTTCTCTCTCCCCCTCTCTCTCTGCCCCGCCCCCACCCAAAATAAATCAGTAAACATTCCTTAAAAAATGATTGGAAGGATGGGAGCTCACTCTTCAAAGACTGATGGGGGGGAATCATCTTGCTCAATCTCATCTCACTCTTCAGAGGGCAGCCTTTTCTGAATATTGGAATAATAAACACGGAATCTTTTTTTTGTAATATTTATTTATTTTGGGGAGAACAAACGTGGGGGAGGGGCAGAAAGAGAGGGGGACAGAGGATCCGAAGCAGGCTCTGCGTTGACAGGCTGACAGCAGCGAGTCCTGTGTGGAGCTTGAACTCCCGAAATGCGAGATCGTGACCTGAGCCAAAGTCAGATGCTCACCTGACTGAGCCACCCAGGTGCCCCAAAACACAGAATCTTTAAAGGACAGGTGTGGCTTGTAATCAAGTGAGGCTTGACTTTTCATTTTTAGTTAACTGTGAATGGATACTTTGGAAATACTGTACTTTACTGAAATGGAAAAGGGCTTTAATTTTAAAAGCTCGTTTGAGCCAAGGTGGATGTACCCCTTCGCACTGAAGCTCTTTTAGGCACCCTTACCAAGTGGGCCCCATTGGAGGCAGTGAGACCTGTGTTCATATTGTTCCTTCCCGGAGTAACTCTTTGAGGCAAGAGTTTCTTTCTTGTCGTGCACAAATGCTTCCCGCCTGATCAAAAGCCTGGTTGGACTATTTTGGGCTTTGGCTTTAGAGGGAGTTGTTCCAGACGAGCCCAGGGAGTAATTAGCTCATGCCTGGAAGGTGACACCAGCTTGTCCGAACGTGCCAAATTGGAAAGCTGAAGCCCAGAGCCTTGCTTTGGAACTGACCCACCTTTCCTCCCTTATTTTTAGCTCTCAGTTTGTTATTCAAATGCTGGTGTGACTACCTTCTAGAAAACAGATAAGGGAGGGAAGTTGGCATGGACAGATGTGGCTGATACCAATCAGTCCCCTCACCGTCCCCATCCAGGATTTGCACAGAGACGTGAACTTCCAACCTTTCGGTTCCTTTCCTTTTATTCCAGCAAGTCCCACCACTGTTACCCAGATGAGCTTGTCCAACCCAACCATGCTGAGGACCCACAGCCTCTCCAATGCCGATGGGCAGTATGACCCGTACACTGACAGCCGATTCCGGAATAGCTCCATGTCCCTGGATGAGAAGAGCAGAACCATGAGCCGCTCGGGGTCATTCCGAGATGGGTTTGAAGAAGGTAAGCAAGGAGGTTTACCATCTGAGGTTATGCAGTGTGGTTAATTGGCCCTCCACACCAAGTTCATGACCTGAGAGCCCACCTCTAAGGGTTTGCAGCCAGCTATCTCACTCACTCTGGGGGTTGGGGCTGGGGAGCTCTGAATCGCCGGGTCTGGCTCTTCATTGACCTCGCAGACTTCAGGGAAGAGGCTTCTGAAGAAACATGAGTGAACTTGGAGCTGACCAAGTTCCACTCTGGGCTTCTCCCTCTTGGACTCGGGCCACAGCTTCTTGGCATGTGCCTCCATCTTGAGGTTCCGCTGCTGGCTCACCATGTTGGCAGAGTGAGTTTCTGGAGAGCTAGTGCATTTCCCTGTGCTGACGCACCCTTGGGCTCTGGGGGCCTGTGGGCAGCTCCAGAAGTTTCTATCTCTCAGTTTATTAAGTTTATTCAGTTAAACCCTTTCCCTTCAGGTATGCCCTTTTTCTTCTTTGCTCACAAATTGTGAATACGTTGGGTCGGATCTTTATGTTTTGTTCATTTTAATCAGAATTTTGGGAGAACATAGCTGTGGGCTTCTTTGCCAGCTGTCCTCCTAACTCGGTTCATCTCTCTGTCCCTTTGTTCTTTCACTTAAGGTGGGAGCTAGGGAAGCAAGCAGTCAAAATGCTGTGGAGGGGCATCAGCCTCACCCCTGAAAAGCTTCCTGAAGGTGGGAATGACAGGACATTACAATCAGTCCTCATTTGACTAGTGGTTAAAAAGATAGAGGAAGACTTCGAAGGTCTGAATCTAGCACTCCAACTTGGGTATATGATCTTAGACGGGTTGCTTCGTGTCTCTGTACTTCCTTTTTTGGTTTTTTGTTTTTTGTTTTTGAGAGTGGTAATAGAAACCAGCTCATGAAATTATGAGAATTCAATAACATATACAAATGTTAACCCAGTAACGTTATTATACATCCTAGGCTGTAGACTCAGTGTCAGCCGAGATGTCTTGGCAGCTAGGCAACTAGGAGTCCCTAGCTAGGGGATGGGGACTCCCAGAGCAATTGAAGCCCAGGCTAAGGCCATAGCTCTGGTTGTGCCTTTGTGTGTGTGTGTGTGTGTGTGTGTGTGTCAGTGGCAGAAGAGAATGTGGAGGAGGGGAGGGTGTTATGGGTGCTTTCCTCTACTCCCAGCCCCTGTAAGAGTGGGAAAGTATATGCCCAGCATCCTTCTGGGAGGAGAGAACAAACAAACTTGTCTTAAGAAATCCCTGAACAAATCAAGAGGGAAAGAAACCGAATAAAAGCTTCTGCTTTTGCCCAGTGTATACTTGTTTACAAAAATTTTAAGAGTTTAGTTACAGGGCAGTAGCCCCCTGGTTCATCTTCCTAGAGACTTCAGTCCCTTCCTTCACCCTGATTTATGTGTCACTTGTGTCCAGTGACATCCAGTGAGTGACAGGGAGCAAGTCTGTAAATCCATATTTGGGAGCCTGCTGGGACAGAGGATTAAGGAAGGGTGGAGCCTAAGTTCCCAAAGAGTGTTTTGCTGTATTGAAGAGTTAGAAATGAGCTCTCTAACCACTCAGGGCAGTAGTAATAGTGGATATGTTGACCCTAAGGTGAAGGAGTAGGCAGTTTGTCTGGAACTTTTTTCTAGTCAATGTGCTGGCCCAAGCATGGCCACAGAGCATCCCCCAGCCCTCCCGGTGACGATTCCCATAGGGAGTGGGTCCTGTGCTCTATTCATCTTCCCTGTCGTGTGTGTACCTGAGTACACCGTGTTCAGAACTGAAACTTGTCCAGACAAGCAGACTTCGCCTCATAAAGATCCAGAACCATTACAGTATCATCATCAGAGAGCTTTTATTTATTCCATCTGGAATCAAGCTGTCAGGCAGCACAACCGTTGAATATCTGGGATGTCAAAGTGACATTGATAAAAAATGCTTGCCCACAAGCAGTGTCTAGACTTTTGTAAACCCTAATGATTCATGGTGATGTGGAACTGAAGGGCAGAGGTAAAACTCAAATTTGAGAGGTAGAAGGTAGGGACTGCTGTCGATATACTATGAACATGTAACAATTTCATCTTTTGGGAAATTTTGCATCAAATTGATTTTCTTTCTTCCAGGGATATTACATTACAAAAACAAAATAGAGCTTGTGCAATTAGGTGTTTTCAATTCCGCTGGGTAAAGAGTCCCGCCCCCCCTTTTGAATTTTTAAATCCCCGTGTTGTGGAAACGGTTGGGGGAAATTTTTACATCTCATGTTTGGGCCAAATAGAACCTCCTTACAAGAGTCCATTAGGTATATCATCTGCCAGAAAGCAGGATAGAAATTTAAAAAGAATTAGCACAAGTACTTGTGTGAGGTTTTTGTGGGATTTAATTAGCACTTTCCATTTTGAAGGAAGTTGGAATCATAAATATGTAGATTAGGTGCAGGCATGGCCCAGATGCAACCTTTCAAAGTTATTTCAGGTAAATTAATTTCCATCAGATGCATTATGCACTCAGAGTCAACTTTAATAGCGCACATTTAGGGAGATGCTTAAGGCATTTTTAAAATGTATGTCTTTGGATGAAAAAAAATCCAGGGACTTTACCAATCATCCCTAATTGCTAGTGCAATCTAAATCGGTTCTTATGGAATCCATAGGAACAGAACAGCTTGTTAATAAATCCTTTTTTTTTTTTTTTTTTTTTTTTCAATTTACTTGTGTTTCTAGCCCCTGAGTCATATTTGTGATTTAAATCCTGTCATGTCTGTTGTTAGCCATGAATGAGACCTTGGGTAAGGGACTTGGCCCCGTTCAGCCTGTTTCCTGTTCGCTAAAAGGTAGAAAATAATTGTACCTCCTTCAGAGGATTGAAGGGAAGATTAGGTGAGATAAATCCCGGAAAGCATTTAATGCAAAATGACTTCGAAAGAGGTTTATAGCAAGTATTCAGTCAGTGGTGGCTATTGTTAAAATTGTCATGTTTGGTTTTATCCTCCTCCCCAAGGGCCATTTCATTGCTGTTTTATTTATGGCAAAATCCAGGCAGAAGAAGTAGCCTGGGGGCTAAGGTCCTAAGCTCTCGATTCTCAGCCTTCTGTTTCTCTATTCAGTCCTACCTTGACATTTGGCTCTGCCTTGGTCACAACTGGGCTTTTTTTTTTTTTTTTTTTTTTTAACCTGATCCTTCATCAGTGTGTTCTCTGTTTTCACTTATGCTCACCTTCCAGAGGGTGGTCCATTTGCCATCTGAACGGTGTCTCCTTGTCATCTGATCGTACCAGCAGTGGAGCAAGAAGTAGGATACAATGCCTAGATAGATGCACATTCTCTGCTCCTGACTAGCTGTGTGTGCTTGGCCACGTCACTTAGCTTCTCTGGGTCTTAAATGACTCTTTTGTCTCTTAGTGGTAGCCACTCCTGCGCTGTCTGGGAATATTACCTACAAATTCTGTGTGGTGATGGGGATCACTTCAAACAATAGTGTAAATGAGAAAGCGCTTTGATTAATATGAAGCTGAATATATATATATATATATATATATATATATATATATATGTATGTATGTATGTATACATGAGATGCCAGTTGTAGCAGCAGGGGCATTTGATTGCTTTATTGGCTAGAATATGCCCTGTTGTTTCACTGTGTCTATACACACACACACACACACACACACACACACACACATACACACCTGTGCTTAAAGAGGGGGTGAAACCATGTTTTCCTCAAATATGCATTTTTCGCTTGTTTGGTTGCAGCTTGTGTCTGTGCACGTTGGATGAGGGGCTGGGGAAACCATTCTAAAACATACCAGAAGGCTCGAACAAAAAAAGCCTTTCAGAAACCAGTAAATCCAGTAGAACCAGTAAATCAAGGGCAAAAGTATCTCCAGACTTCTGATCAGCAATCTCGTTCCTGAATGCTGTGTGACCTTAGGCAGACCATTTAACCTCTCTGGATTTCCGATTACTCAGGGGCAGAGATGGCCCACACAAGCCTCTGCTGGGCCTCGTAGCTTCAGAGCTTTAGAGCTATGGGTATCGGGTGGGAAATGCACGGCGCGCTTTTGCTGTTCTGGCTTTGTAGGTCTTGTGTGCGTTTTGCTGTCCAAAAGTATCCAAGCCACATAACCCAGGCTCTGATTTGGTTCAGTTCACTTGAAACAAGGCCAACTGTAATGGTTCAGGCAAGCCACATTCAGTGTGGGGTTGACTCTGGAAATCCAGAAATCTTCTTTTGGGTTGCTATTCTTTTGGCCTTGCTATTACTATTTACCAAGTGAGAGGAGTTAATTGCAGAGAAAAATAATTACCTCCACTGAAGCCTGCCAGATATGCTGTTCTCCGCCTGCGGCCCTAAGCTTGCACCACGATATTGCTGAAGGCAGGGTCAGTAAGTCTGTGTGTACAAGCTAGAGAGAAGAAAAAAAGTTTCCCCAACTTGGCCTCCAGTATAATCTGCCCCTACTACCCGTGCCATGGGACTAAAGTTACTTACCCCTTTAGAACATGAGGCCACTAGGTTGGAGCATGAGAGGTGTCTGCTAACATCTGAACGTATTAACACTGAAAGCCGTTATTGGCCATGAACACCATAAACTGATTTCTTATGGGCCATGGGCCAGAGAAGTCGTGGGTGGAGAAGATCTGTAACCCTAAGCATTGCTAAGGAAGGTGGATGGGAGTGATGGTATAAGGATAGCCTCAGAAAAGCAGGCTCCTTCGAAGAGAGAAGAGGGCTGGACAGGCAAGCAAGGAACCGTGTGGGTTCAGAGGAGGGAGGAGGTGCATCCAGTGGCGGCGGGCAGGGAAACGAGGAAAAGGTCCATGGAGAGACCTTGTCTGAGCTGATCCTGGCGATGTGGGTAGGCAGAAATGAGAAGCGTCCTAAACAAAGGGAACTGCGTGGGCAGAGACTCTGAGGCAGATGAGTGCAATGAAGGGCATGCTCGAGAGAGGAGTGCGGGATTCAGAATGTGATAGGAGCGCATCAAGGAAGAGCTGGAGGTCGGGAGGTTTATGGGAACACAGTGTGGAGACACCTGGGTGGCGGGCTGAACGGTTGGTCGGATATCTTGTGGGCAGGTAGCTTCTGCCGACTGCTGATCTAAGTTGAGCTCGCTTTGTGGGTGGTAAGTGCAAGCCGTTTAGTGCACGTGGAAAGTTACTCCCCAGCCTCCCACTCTCAGACCACAGGGGACAGCGAGTGTGGGGGTAGAACATTCCACTCGTGGTCAGGAAAGCTGTGCCCAATTAAAGGTCTCTGATGTCTCCACGGGCATATTTACATCTTTCACAAAGTTGTCGAGAGATTCCTAAGAAAATGTCATTAAAGAATCTAGTTCCCAGAAAGAGAAGTCAGCTGGGATACTTAGTCCAAGAAAAGACCATGTTTTAAAGTTGTATGAAAACAATTAAAATGTCTCCCCTGGCTGGGGACAGGAAGGGGCGCGAAGAGGGTGTGAAGATGGTTCTAAGTCAAAGGTACCAGTCAGGAACGAAAAAGGGGACACCACTTGCTTGTCATTTTGTACACATGGTAGAAATCGAAAGAAGAATCTCTGTTTCAGTAGATGTATCTTCTAGACAAGTGCTCTACTACAAGTAACATCTAGAATGAATTTGCTATGGTCAGCAGCCAGCCTCCTATGTTGATAATAATCGGCTCATCTTTGTGCATACACAAGTGAGAGTTGCTAGCAGGGTACGAAATAGATGTGCCACACAATCTCAACCCTGAAGGAATATGTTAGAAAAAAAGAAAGGAGTAAAATGTGCTGGAATGGAACAGGTACCAGGTTGCCTCTGGGTAATAGAATTATGAGTCACATAGATAATGGCAGTGAGTATGTTTGTTTTTTTAACACTTCTCTATACTTGAAAACTTTTATTTAGTAATCATGTGTTATTTTCATAGGGGAGAAAGGTATTTAGAGGTTGTAGGAAAAAAATGTGCTAAAAGAGAAGAGACTCCCTTAGCAAATTATTTTATTTGACTCTGTCACCAAATGAGGAAAAGTTGGGTCCAGGCGAGATTAAGCTGCCTATAATGTTGAGTTTCTCTTCCTCTCTCCTTCTTAGACTCCATAGTAGCCGGTTGTGCAGTTCACCTTTTTTTTTGTGTGTTAAACAGTTCACGGATCCTCGCTCTCCTTGGTTTCCAGCACGTCTTCAATTTATTCTACGGTGAGTGTAAATCAATGCTGTATGCATTGCTATGATCATGAGGACTGGGGCTCCTTTATCAAGTGTATCAAGAATAAACTATAAAATCATTTCTCCTAGAGAAAGCATTTCCATTATAAGGGAATCGTTTAATAGGGAACAAGATTTGAAATTCACAAACAGCTGTTGATCATAATGTATCAACCAATAAGGCAGGAGCTCACTTTGTTAAAGTGGCATTGTGCTTTGGGTGGTAACTAGTTAGAATGTGTGAAAAGCCTTGGCCACCTGCTGGTAGCCTTAGAAAAGAAAGGCCTTAAATAACTTAGTCTTCTGTCTGCCTCAGTTTCTTTATCTGTGAAGTGGAAAGAATAGCAGCCCCTACTGTGAGGGAGATGACCTTTCATGACAGTATAAATTCCTTGAGGGCAAGGACTTTTTCTGTTTTCATTCCTAGTGCCTAGAGCAAAGCCTAGCATATAGTAGGTGTTCAGAAAATAGGCTTGAATGAAATAAGAAAATGCATGGGAAGCACTAAATACAGTGTGCACAGCACAGAGTAAGCTCTCGAAGGTTGGCTATCATCACTGAGTGGTCTACTGAACAAAAGCCAAATGGAATCGAAAGATGGTACTGGATTTGTTCAGAGGTTTTTGCTTTTTATAGCTCTGTACATGACTATTTATCTTAAAATTTTTAACTTGGGAATCCCTATAGGAAAAAAATTTTACTAATTAAGAATTGGAAATCCTTTAGCCCTTAATTCCATGGAGGACAGATATTTTAGGAAGTCAGTTTTTGGTAACGCCAGGCTCCTGGGCTAGAGACCTCACGGGACAAACTGTCTGTGGCCCCTTAGAAGTTTAAAGGCCATCCTGGAGTCAAGTTAAAGAGACCAGAGCCTAACTGCTCTTTCTTAGGCCGATAGCAAGCACAAACAGACTTGAGTGAGCGCTGACATGCTCTGATTTGAAGGACCTAGAAAGGATCTTTTCTGCTCCGACCCACCTTGCCACCTCCAAACACCTCGTTCCTCAGCCGGTCACCTTGTCCGAAATTTCATCACAGAGTCCTCACTTTGGTTAGTAAGAGGGATTGCCGAAGCCACTACCTACTAAGAAAGCCATAGACATGGCCTTCTAAATCTCAACTAGTACATACTCGAAGTCCTGTCTTCTAAAGGGCAACTCTGCGACATGGGTGCCAAGATAGTACTTTCAAACCTAGATTTACTGCTTTGACAGGATTTACTGGCCCTGTGTGGATGTGAGGCTCTGGGCTACACCCCAAGGATGTGGTGCGGGTGGGCAGAGGAGCCTGCTGCTGAAGGAGGAAGCCAGACGTACCCAAGGACAGCTCGGGACCTGGGACTCTAGTTCCATAGGGTGGGTGCAGAGGCTACCACAGGCATCGCCATCCCCAAGCCCCTTGTTTTCCCAGCGGAGTGCCCGGGGTTTCCCGTCAGCGCGGAGCAGGAAGGTTCTTCTCAGAAGAGTGAGAAATGGGGGCCGGCCTGCACCGGCCAGCCTTGGAGGGAAAGAGCATGAATCCCCCCGCTGTGAGAATTCGGACCTCGGAAGCCATCACTTGCGTTTCCTGGCTGCACTGCCTTCGTGCAGCCCGCTGGAGGCTCTTAGCATCCAAGGCCTTTCGGTCGCTCTTGCTCTGGGTGTGTGGACAGGAAGCTGATGTTTTCATGAAATTACAAATTATGCTGAGTTGATAAAAATTCACACGTTACCAAAGACCTAATAATAAGTTTCAACTTCATATGTAACTAGACAAGAGCCCCAAGGCCTAATCTTTGTTTTTTTCCTCACTATATGACTTTGTACAAATTATGTCATTATTCCGGGTAGTTGTCAGTTTGTCCTCGCTGTCAGGAAGCCAGTGGTCTCAGAGGAGGTGCCCACAACTTCTGACATTCCACCAAGTCATTCATCAAAGGTTCCCCTATACTGTCCTCTACATGTGCCTTCTCTGAGCATATAGGTTACTTTTGCAGACTTAAAAAAAAAAAAAGTCTGGGGCGCCTGGGTGGCGCAGTCGGTTAAGCGTCCGACTTCAGCCAGGTCACCATCTCGCGGTCCGTGAGTTCGAGCCCCACGTCGGGCTCTGGGCTGATGGCTCAGAGCCTGGAGCCTGTTTCCGATTCTGTGTCTCCCTCTCTCTCTGCCCCTCCCCCGTTCATGCTCTGTCTCTCTCTGTCCCAAAAATAAATAAACGTTGAAAAAAAAAATTAAAAAAAAAAAATAAGTCTAACATTTGCCTGTTTCCACACCAGAGTAGTCTGCGAATTCCAAACTGTATCTGACTACGTTGCTGCCACCAAGCGTGGACATGTGGTCCCTCATCTGTTATCAGCCACTTGGTAATAATAGAATTCTGAGACTCAGACACCTTGGCAAATGTTAAAGCGAACAAGTTCTCGTTCTAAAAAGAGATTGTTGGAGTTTCGTAAGTTGCCACCAACCCAGACCAAAGCGTCTGTTTAAGAGCTGAGTGTTGTTGAAGGCTCTTATTGGATGATAATAGGTTTTTCCCTGAAATCTCTGTAATTCTTGGATATTCAAGAATGCTCATTCTGGCTGAAAATTGCCTGTGATTTTAATTAGAAAGGAAAGAAAAGGCAACAGTTGCTGAGCAACTGCCATGAAGAAGTCATGGAGTAGACTTTGCCTTGAAAATGGAAGGTGCCACATCGGGCATTAGACCGGCTTTCTTGGCCGGTAGAGGGCAGGAACTGCTAAATGGAGGGAGGCTCCTAGCTTCACTTAAGAGCTCCCAGAGCAGCAGCTGGGGGTAAGATTAAGAACAGGGGTCCAACCCTGAGACAGTGGGCAGAGTGACAGTGGCAGAGGTACGGGGAAGGGGGGGAGTATTAGGCCCGTGGATAGGAGTGTTTAGAAGTGGGGCTCCTCCTATATGGATGGTTCACCCTGCTGACCGACCTCCGTCAGCCGCCCAAATGTTAGATAGCTGTGACATTCTCACTGTTAACTTTGTCCTTTGGGGTCAGACTCAAAAGTCAGGGACCTTATTTCTAGAAGGCCTCCATAAGAAGGTAGCTGTAGTAAAAAAGCAGGAGAATGTGTTTGTTAAGATCCTAGACTCAAGAGCCAGACTACCTTGGGTCCAGTCCCACCTCTCCCTCTTAATAGCTGTGACCATGGGCAAATTATTCAACCTCCCTGTGCCTCAGTTTCCTCATTTGTGAAATGTAAGTGAATAATGTTAGTACCTACCCAAAGGGTTGTTATGAAGACTAAAAAGTAGAAAGGGCTTACAACAGTCTCTGGCACGCGATAAGCATCCTGTAAATGCTACTTATTACCAGACTGTAAGCAACATGCGGTGAGGGACTTGGTCATGCTCACAGCTGTATCCCAGGTTCTTCAAACAGTGCCTGGCACATAGTAGGATATCAGCAAATATTTGATAGGTGGTGGTAGTGGGCATGAATGGATGAACAGAGAAAGAGGGACGGGTGAATATTCCCAGAGAGGGAAGAGGAAGTCCTGAGGACACCTCCCAGCATTTTCCTGAAAGTGTTTCTTAGATGAGAGTGTCCAGCTGTGTGATTTCAGGCAAGATAACCTAACCTCTCTGTGCCTCAGAAGGAATACAGACCTACTCTGTGGGGTTACTGCCAGAATTAAACGATTTGGCCCCCCCACGTTCCTAAAACCCAGCTGCTGCTGTTCGAAGCCAGCTGGAGGAAGGACCCTCCTGGAGAGGATCAGGAGTCAGGGCAATGGGGTGAGGAACAGGGCGAAGGGAGACCAGACAGGAAACAGCCCCCACCTGCCCCAGCCGATGGGTGTAGGGTCTGCAAGGTCTAATGAATCATACCGGTAGTTCTGCATTCTGAACTAATATAAAAGTAGACACCAGAGTCAGATGCTGATATTTTAATAATGGGTTTATCACTGGTGAAATTGGCTTAAGACACACATCTAGCACCCAAGGACAAAACAGTCCTTACTGATTTTCACTCGCCTACCTGGCTCCCAAGTCACTGCTCCAACCCTGGGGAAGTGCAAATGGAGGGGTGGAGAGAAGGTGGGAACACTTCCAACATTGCCCAGAATGGGAGGGGGGGTGTCTTCCTTTCTGGGCCCCTGTGAGAACCCAAGGAGAGTGAAAGAAAGGTTCCCCCTGCTTCAGGTTCCCCCTATAGGAGGAGAGAGGTAGTCTTATGGTCCCTGGCTAGCAGGTGGCTGTGTCACCGCAGACACAGGGCCCTGGATGGAAGATTCTGCCAGTCAAGGGCCCACGGGCTTCACCTTTACTTCCCAGAGTAGCAGGAAACTGGGGGACTGGAGTTGGGGCAGCAGGAAGGTGAAGGCCTGTCCTTTCTCACAACCTGGGGAATCAGCAGACAGGCTGATGGGGCTCCCAGCTTCCCTCACTTCGGAGGCAGTGCCCCGGAAACAGGAGAGGGAGGAATGACACAGGCAGTTACCCCGTGAACAGTCCTTTTCCCCCAGCTAGGATTGCCAGATTAAATACAGAACGCCCAGTTAAATTAGAAATTCAGATTGACAACAAATAATTTCGGGGGCGCCTGGGTGGCTCAGTGGGTTAAGCGTCCGACTTCAGCTCAGGTCATGATCTCACGACTCGTGAGTTGGAGCCCTGCATCGGGCTCTGTGCTGACAGCTCAGAGCCTGGAGCCTGCTTTGGATTCTGTGTCTCCCTCTGTCTGCCCCTCCCTCCTCCTCCTCCTCCTTCTTTTTCTTCTTTTCCTCCTCCTCTCTCAAAAATAAACATTAAAAAAAAAAAAAAACCAAATAACCTTTTAATATAAATTGTCCCCAGTGTAGCATGGGATATACTTATTTTTATTTGCTAAATCTGGCATCCCTACCCTGGCCCATCCCCTTCGCATCACACCTTCTCCTGAGCACCCAAACTTATTATCTCCACACGGGAGCAGAGGGGCTCCTCACAACCAAAATCACAACCAAAAGTCTTCCTAATTTCTTAAAATAATATGCCGTTTGTATTTGGCCGTTCTGATGGGTCAAATTAACTGAACCAGTTTATCCAGAAAAATAACACCAGGAACAAAACTCATAACTTCGGGACTTCTGTAAGCATCCAAATGTGCTCTTCCCCACGGGCTGCATTGTGCTGCTCTTTGTTCCTCAACTGGTCTAATTTCCCTTATGATTTCTTTACAGCCAGAAGAAAAGTGCCAGTCAGAGGTAAGGAACAGTTTGCCGGCTGGATTTCCTCTGTCACTATTATCTGTTCCTTCACCCAGCTCCAGCTGGGAATGGACGCTTTGAGCAAGTAACTGTCCCTTGCCGTCTTTAGATTCGCAAGCTGCGGCGGGAGCTGGATGCCTCACAGGAAAAGGTTTCAGCTTTGACCACCCAGCTGACAGCAAACGTGAGTACAGATGCAGGGTGGTAGCCATGGGAGGGGGGGCAGCCACTGCTCCCTTCCGACATTTCCTCACGGCCGCCTGCCCCCGAGCACCATGGAAGCAGTACGGTGTGAAGGGCAGGAGCTTTGAGCATCGTGAGTGTAAACGTCCGCTCCGGCACTTTCTGGCTCTGTGCTTCGGGCAGCTTCTTTCACCTCTGAGCCTGCACATGCCCCTCTGTGCAGTGGCGGATGGTGATACTTAGCTCTCTGGGTCGTCAGGTGATCAGTTCTGGAATCCATTAAGTGGTCAGAAAAGTTCATTTCCCTTTTCTTCCTCTTTCTGAAAATGTTCATCTTCAGGAGAAAAAAAAAAAAAAAAGCGAAGGCTCCAGATAAATAGCTGACTGTTCTGTAATTACAATATGCACAATTACGTGTTCAGGAAGGGCTGCCAACCAGCATTCAATTCAACAACTGTTTATGTGCCAACTATGCCCCGGGCACTGTGGGTTCAACAGCAGAGCAGACACCATCACTGTCATCTTCGTGTACTTTGGTACGGCAGAGAGACAAAACGCTTTTCTATAATAGGCTAACTGTTAAGAGAGAGAGGCAGAAGGTTGTGGGAACATGTAGGAGGCGCGCAGAACTCAGTCTGGTGGTGGGGGGGGGGTCAGGAAGGGCTTCTTGGAGGAGGTGACCTGAGGGATGCTGTATAGGGGAGGATGCATGGGGAGGGCAGCGTTCTACCCAGTGTACACATACATGTATCTGTGCAGACGCCCAAGGGGAAGTCTTGGTGCGTTTAGAAAGTATAAGTAAGCTCATTGTAATTAGAATCTATGGCTTGGATATGGGGCAGTGGCGCGGGTGGAGGGGAGAAGGAAGTCAGGAAGAGGCAGCAAAGAAAAGCAAGGGGCAGGTCACATCACACTGTCTCCCGGCTGTTAGGGGGAGAGTTTGGGTTTCCTACTGAATCTGTGTGTTTGAAGCAGAGCAGTGTGGTGGTTCGATTTCCTCCTCATGAAGCTTCCTGACTATGGCATGGTTATGGAATTAAGGGGTCCGAGTGTAGGCAGAGACCTCTGGTCTGCAAAGGAGCCCTGCTGAAGAGCTATGAGCCAGGGAGGGCTGAAGTTTAGCAGGCAGAGCCTGCAGTTTTAGGAGGCACTGAGATGTTCCTGAAGCAAGGCTTCCTGCGGGAGCGCGTGGGCCAATCTGAGACCACAGATACATGTGTGGGAGCCTTGTCCCAAAGCAGCCTGCACAACCCCATAGTATGCTGGTAAGATGAAAAGCAACTTCAAAAGGTTGTCTTCCTTGGACCAGGAAGCTGAGTCAGTACTCCAAGCAATCATTTGCTTGGAGTTTTTGCCCAGGTAATGCCTGGCTTGAGCCTGAGTCAACTGAAGGAAACTATTTCTCTTAAAATCTGCACATGAAATGCTTCATGTGGTACTTGACCTTAATTAAAAGCTCAGGAGCTGGTAACTTCTGTCACCATTGTTCATTCTCCTGAGTTCTCTCACATTTCTGGGAGTGTTTGAATTTTTTTAAACCCTCATGTACCAGGCCGCTCTGTGTTTCGTTATCCTCCTTTGTTTTCTTTTCTGCTTCCACCGTCAGTAACGCTATCAAAAGAACATCAAAGATTGAGATCTGAATTTTGAAGCTTAGAACCTATTTATAAGAAAAAAACAACCCAGAGATGTTCCGTGGGTTAGTCTTCATGTGGGTACCATTCGAATCCAAAACCAAATCCCAAACTCACTGAGGCAATCTAGATATAATCCGAATGTGAGATTTAATAGCAAGCCCCATCTCAGGTGATTTTTGGAGCTACTCCCCTGGTTAAGGATTACTGCTCTCAATTGGTGCCCCCTACATATCAAAAAATAGATGAATTGACTTATCAGAAAACTCGGGTTAATTCCTCCAGTGGCCTTGTGCTGCCCAAAGGGCCTTACGCTGGGCCATTTGGAACTCTACCCTCTGCTCCAGAAGACTCAGGGTGAGGTCTCTTACATCATCGTTATTATTCCAAAAGTGTGTTTTGCTCCTCACAAAAGCCATTGAAATCCAGTATTGTTTCAAAGTAAATATTTAGTCTTACCACACACCACCGGCAGCCCTAACGTGTTTTATTGTCTGCCGTCTTTCTCACAGGCCAAGCTGTATTTGTTTTTCTAGGCCAAACTACCCAAAGCCACCTTCTCTGGGTGTTTTTATACCACTCGTGTTTGTTTTCCTGGGAATGTGAGAATGGCACTTGGTCAGAAGGCTGTTGTGTGGCTTTGAACCAGGCTCGGGACGGCCTCTCGGCCTGTGTTTTCACAGTTGTTCGTGACCTAAAGTCGGTCCTTTCTCTCGACAGCAAAATGCAAACCTCTAGCTCTTCAGAGCAAACACGGCTTCTTCTTGAGTTTGCAAAAACACTTCTCAATAGCTAGTCTTCTTGGGTTAGGTTTTTGTCTTTAACTGAACGGAAAGTGCGAGTGCCTACAAGTAGAGGCCTGGGTGGTAATCAAAGAATTAAGATAAATGGAAATTCAGTCCTTTAAATTTAACCTTGGCGCTCCTTTGAAATGGCAAGGTTAACAGTCATTTCTTTTCACCGTCTTTGCCCTGGCCCTGTTTCCTTCATCCACTGTGTAAACTGTCTTAAATTGATTGGCTTTGCCATATTCTCCCCGCCAGCTGAAGCGTATCTCTTGATTTCAAACTGCATCGACGTTTTCTCAGTTTTTAATGATGAGAGGGCAATGCAGTCAGAAACTGACTAATCCACTTAATATTTTTATTATAAGCGGTCCTGCTCCCTGATAACTCCTACAGCTGTTAGAGAAAAGACCCAACAGTTTATGCCGGATATGTCTTCTCCTCACCTGTCCCTGCTTGATGAAGTCTAGTGACCAAGAGCTCTGACTTCTCCCATCTCTCCTCTTTCAAGTGACACGTCTGCTGACCCTCTCCACAATCCAGGACAGTGTCCCACCCCTCCCCTGGCTGTTACCTCACTTTTATTCTTCACTGAGTGCCTCGGTTCTGTGTTCCTCTAGAATGTTACATATGTAGTCAGATCTTACTTCTCCCTCCTCCCCAGACTCCCACTTCCTCTGCCTCCTGCATCTTCCCACCCCTCTCCTAGAGCCCTTTCTTATCTCTCCCCACCTGTGTTCTCATCCTATTTTTACTTGTTTTCCCAGCCCCAAACCTCTTCCTTCCCCCCAAAGTGTCCATTCATTCCTGTGTTTTGCAATTCCATAACAGTACAGACCATTTTCGCCTATGTTGTTTCACTCAAGGCTCACGATAACCCTGGGAGGAAGACAGACATCGCCCCCATTTTATAGATGGAGAAACAGCAGTCAGTAGGATCAGCTCACTTGTCCATTCTTTATTCTCGGTTTTGACCATATTATCAGGATCCTCAGTCAACCCAACCGCTATTTCACCTGCTGCTGTACAGAGGAAGGAAGAGGCTTCATGTTAGGACACAAGCTTGCATCTTACCCTTGAAGAAGGTTGCAGAGAAAGGGGCAGACAGAAAAACATCGCATGTCTCGATTCTAAGATACATGTTTTTTTCCCTACATTTTTAACATGTCTGAAAGTGGGATACGTATTTTTCAAGATGTCCTAGCACTATAGAGAATAGTGGTGTGTCTGATGTCGGGTTCTAACAGAAGCGTATAAAAGTAGAGAGGGGCCTTGGGGGAAAGTCCTAACTCCCTGGAGGAACAGGGGAAGGTTTCTCCAAGGAGGTAGCAGATGGGCCTTTCGGTGACTTTTTATTAACCGGGGTTATAACAAGCAAAATAATGCCAACCGCTTTGTTCATCCATTTGTTTTTTTTTTTTTTTTTAACGTTTTATTTATTTTTGAGACAGAGAGAGACAGAGCATGAATGGGGGAGGGTCAGAGAGAGAGGGAGACACAGAATCCGAAACAGGCTCCAGGCTCTGAGCCGTCAGCACAGAGCCCAACGCGGGGCTCTAACTCACGGACTGTGAGATCGTGACCTGAGCCGAAGTCGGACGCTTAACCGACTGAGCCACCCAGGCGCCCCTTTGTTCCTCCGTGTGTACAAACATGCTTGATATGAGCCTCTCCTGTGAGCTTGGCATTTAGTGAACAAAAGTGCCATAGAGCAGAGGAGCTAGAAATGAAGCAGCAGTCACAGGAGTGCATGTGTCTCTGACGGTGACACCATAATGCACATAGGTCGGCAGTCCACGTGCTTTTGAGGGTGAACGTGAGAGAGCCGTCGTGAAGGCGTGAGCTTCCGTCTCTTGAGAAGGTTGTGTAAAAATTAGGGAGACAGCAGGGAAAGCACATATGAAGGCCCTGAGGTGGGAAGCAGCATGGGATTTTTGAGGATGTGAAAAGCTGGAGTGACTGGATCCCAAAGAGAGATGGAGACTGGGGCTCCAAGGGCTGAAGAATTAGGCGGGGGCTAACTCACATGGCCCCGGTGAGGATTGCAGTCCTTAAGACCCAGCACCCAATAGGCTCTCTTGCCTTGCAGGGTGATCTAACTGAGGTGGTGTCTTTTCTCCTCCAGGCTCACCTGGTGGCAGCCTTTGAACAGAGTCTTGGAAACATGACAATCAGGCTCCAGAGTTTGACCATGACGGCTGAGCAAAAGGTAAAGGAAGAAAGGGTGCTTCCCTCCTCCCTGCTTGGGATGAACAGCAAACCTAAGAATAATACTCTCTTTGGTTCCAGAGAGTAGTAGAGATTTTAGTGCACTTGAACTATGGGAATTGAATCGTGAAGAGTAGGTCTGTTGAGTGCAAAAGTGACCTAAACGAAGGGGCGGCCCCAGCACCCGTGACCCATCTCACAGTCCTATTTCTACGGCTTCTGTGTGCTTATGTGCCCGTTGAAGATTGATGCAACCTAAATACATGGGACAGAGGTTTTGTGGAACTCCTTCGTTCCCTCCCCGCCTGTGCTGAAACCGAGTCGCACTTCTTTTGAGCTCGGTCCAGAATGATGGTAGGGTGACCGGTATTTTTTTCTGTTCCCCAGGATTCAGAGCTGAATGAGTTAAGAAAAACCATCGAGCTGCTAAAGAAACAGAATGCAGCTGCTCAGGCTGCCATTAATGGAGTAATTAACACACCAGAGCTCAACTGCAAAGGTAAAGGAAGGAAAGCAGCCTTCTAGGCCAACAACCTGCCTGCCCTTAGGAGCCCTCCCCTGACAACACACGCTGCAGTCTCCCTGCCCCAGGGTGTGTGTCCACGTCAGTCACTCAGGTCCTGGGAGGCAAACACTTTGAATCCAGTAACTCCAGGCCTCCGGGAAGGTAGCTCTTCCGGCTCAGCCTCTTCCCTGCTGTGTCTCAAAAATGGAAGCAAATGTGTTTCATCGGCAAAGTGGCGTAGTGTTTCGCTTCGCCTGTGTCCTTATGCCTGAAGCCCTTAACCTCAGTCGTGCTCTGGTGTTTCCATATCGACTCGGGCTACCCTGAAGTAGGCATCTCTTGTTTGCCCAGGAAAATCTTCCTGAGCGAATTGCTTCATCCGTGTGTGTCTTACTTGCGGGGAGAAATGGAGTTGTGAGGAGGAGTTACCCTCTACCTCCCACAACAGTGGCCTTAGTGGTCATGGTAGAAGTGACGGTGATAGCTAGCATTTATGGAACACGCGCTGTGTTCTAAGCCCCTCCGCTCAGTGTTTTCAATTATTAGTTATCTCGTTCGCTTCCGCAACAACCTTATGAGCGCAGTGCTGGTCCTCTCTGCATCGGGCTGCTTGAGTCACTTCCAGAGTATAAGATGCAGAAGTGGGACTGGAACCCAGGTCTCTCTGACTCTGACACCAGTGCTCTTAGATTTCGTTCTGTGCTTGTGCAGAAAACTGGCTGCAAATTTTATTTCGGCGTCACTGCTCTTTCAGACAGTGTGATTTCTGGCGTCACCGTTATTTCAGCTGTCAGGCCTCCTGAAGAGTAATGACAGGATCGAAATGGGAGGGATTGGCAAGAGCCGGCCAGCCCGAGGAAGCGCAAAGGGCATTCCAGGAAGAGGGAAGAGCACACGTTAGGGTCCCGAGATGAGATGGGCTCGGCATCTCCAAGGAGCCAAAAGAAGGCTCGTGAAGCAGGAGCGTACAGAGCAGAATGGGGCTCGGGGTGGCCTGACAATACAGGTGACTTGTCACGGTTCAGAAATAGGATTGGGTGCCTGTCTCAAGCTTGAGAGAGCTGGTGTTAGGGGGGGATTGTCTTGAAGCCTCCCTGACTTCTGTTTGATGAAGCGGATAGAATGGGCCTTCATTGAATTGACTAAAGGGGGCGTAACTTCCACCTGCTCACGGATCTTCAAACCAGCTGCTGAGAGCAGAAGGTGGTGTCTAATGGGAAATACTCGGGTGTGTGTGGATTCAGGTATAAAAGCCATTCCCTGGGACAAAGGACTGGGCTCCAGGCAGCAGCTGCTGATCTCCTGCCTTGGGTCTCCAGGAAATGGTACCTCCCAGTCTGCAGACCTCCGCATCCGCAGACAGCACTCCTCTGACAGCGTCTCCAGCATCAACAGTGCCACCAGCCACTCCAGTGTGGGCAGCAACATAGAGAGTGACTCGAAGAAGAAGAAGAGGAAGAATTGGGTGAGTGTGCATCCCAAGACTTCTGTGGGTCCTAGCAGACCAGTGCCCCCCCCCGCCCCCGGAAGAGCCCAGGCTCGCTCTTAACTTCAGAGCATAGGCCTTTGAGAGCGTGTCCAAAGAAGCCTATGGATAGGTTTCTACCAAATTCAGTGCTGTGCTCAGCCAAACACCAGGACTTACGAAACCACCACCACCTTGTAGTTTTTCTGTTTCATGAGACTTTACGTGGCATACTCATCTTCCATTTCATGTACATGTTATGTCGTCATCATCCCATGCTATAGCCACAGAGTTCCAGGCACTAGAGCAAGGGTACTCTGCAGTGGTTTCTTCTTAGCTAGTCTGGGGTGGAGGGTGTATGTTACCAGTTATCCCGTCATCATTGATAATCCTTATCTGCTTACTGACACAATTGACTGCTGTGACAGCCTTAAACCAACTTTTCTCTAAACAATTTTTGACCGCGTCCTGTAAGTAAAAGTGTCATGGTGTAGGGGTGCCCTGGTGACTCAGTCCGTTAAGCATCCACTCTTGGTTTTGGCTCTGGCTCAGGTCATGATCTCACAGTTAGTGATTTGGAGCCCCGTGTCAGGCTCTGCACTGACAGTGAGGAGCCTGCTTGAGATATTCTCTCTCTCTCTCTCTCTCTCTCTCTCTCTCTCTCTCTCCCTCCCTCCCTCCCTCCCTCTCTCTCTCCAAGAAAGAAAGAAACATTAAAAAAAAAAGTGTCACAATTTAGATGTTAGGAGTTAGGACAAGGTTTTAAAACTGGAGAGTTGTACTTCAAAACAGCGAGTTTGATAGACCCAGTTTCCAATACACTGTTTCTCCATGTTTCCATAATCCCAATGAACTGCTTGAATTTCTGTGCTGTGGTGTCTGGAGCAGTTTTTTTCCCATTCTCCTGGAAATATTTCGCACGCCCGCCATTTTTTTTTTTAAGTAAGCTCTACCCCCACCATGGGGCTTGAACTCACCATCCTGAGATCAAGAGTTGCACAGTCCACAGACTGAGCCAGCCAGGAGCCCCCTACCCACCCAGTTTTGGTTGTGTGGAGGCTGTGGAGTTCTGAGACATTTGCTGCCCCCTGTCTTCAGCGCAGGGATACCCCAGATTGATCTGAAGGGGGCTAGTGCTCAAAGGGCCCCATCTGTCAGTGCTGACCGCATCGTGTGTTCAGAGTAGCTTCAACGTCCTCATTCATCCCACATACTTCTCCCTCATTTCGTGTTATCTTGGATGGGTGGCGAGGTCTACCAATAGAGGAGTTGAGGTTTGAGTGATTTCGGTTATTGATCGCTTGCGCTGGAAGACCGTAAGGCCGGTTCAGTGCAACCCTGTCCCAATGATTAAATTTTTTCTTTGTTACTAACGGCTTTCAGTCAACTCCTTCGCCGTGCCTTTTAGAGGATTAACGTATGTTGCTGTTTCTAATATATTGTTGGTAACTATGGTCTGACTTGATTGTCAAGGTGATGAGAGAGAATTCTTTTCTATGAAAGACAGTGTATATCCATTTTCTCCAATTCAAAAAATAAAACATATTTATTTGCTTTAAGACAGTTCCAGGTTATCGGTAGAATTGGGGAGGATGGATAATTGACACTCTCAGATCATCCCGAAGCTTAATTCCGTCTGATCTTTGCAGTCTCCTCTTCCACCCGGCCTTTTACCACAGGGAGAGGCAAGGATTTAGGTTGATGGCTTGTGTACTAGATCCTTCTGTTTCTATAACTGGAAATACGGTGAAAAGCAGGAAATGGGAACTTGATCAACCACACGCTGGACATGCCATTCGTTATGGATGAAATCCTGATGGGTAAAAAAAATCCCGTTAATTATTTCAGAATGGCCTGTTTCTGAATTCTTTAATGGCTAAGAAAACCTCCAGGATGTTTTCAGAAGGAAAGAAGGATTTTAGGAAAAAGGAAATCCCTTTTTTAAAAGACCTTTTTTTAAGACAAAACTTAACTTTTCAGCTCTAGAAAATACGTGCTTGTGGCTTTCGGAGAAGACCCTGCACTTTAACTCTTGATTCTCATTAGAATAAATACTCTCGTTGGACTTTTCAGATCCGTCGCATGATGTGGGGAATTTGTGAGGTACCAGTTCCCTGTACCCAATATGGCTAATGAATTTCTCACAAATACCCACTATTTGAGTAGTAAGCGAGTGGCTAGTTCCCTGCTTGTTCTTACGCGTATGCCAGCATAGCGGGAACTCCTGAGATCTTCCAAAGGGCTGCATTGGGGCCTAGTGCAGCAGTGAAGCCCTTCTTGCTGAGAGAAGAAGACACAGACATGCCAAAAACAAGTTAAGGCGCAGAGAGATGGCTGATAAAAGACATAGGGTGAGAAGCACTGGAAGGCGAGGGCCGTCATTTCAACTAGACAAAGAAGCTGGAAGAACTCGGACTATAGGGCCTTCCAGAAGCACTAGTCCTTGCCTTTCCTCACGGAGGAAGATGCCCCTAATGCCCTGAAAGATTCACGTTCTTACCAGAAACCTCCTGTGTGTGTGGTGTTTATCATTAGCCATGTCGTGTCTGAGAAGTCCGAAGCTTTCCCTGTCACTGGCTTTCTCTGTTAAAAATTGTCTTTTTTCCTTCCCCTCCCCCATTTTTGCTTGCGTTTTCCCTGGCAGGTCAATGAGGTAAGCAAGACCACCGTTAATATCAGATACCAAGCTAACCCATCCATTGATATGACTAATCTCACCCGCATCCGCCACCATGTCTGAGCATCCTGCTTTGTTGCTGTGTAACCTCATCCTCCCGACATCCATCTGCTGAGCCAGGCTCTGTCTTGCTGTTGGCATCTAGCCTCGAAGCAGGAGTAGGCATGGAATGTCACCCACAGGTCCAGTCCTTTGAGCTGTCAGCACCAGATAACTCTTCTTCCCTTACTGCACTGATTCAAGAGAGCTGTTGGGAACCTCTGTCATTGGTTGGGGGGTGGGGGGGAGTCGTGGGAGAATTAATTGCTCTTTTGTCTGCATGTCTCTGTGTTGCCGAGGCCTGGGTGTTGGGTGGCAGCCCGTGCCAGGCTGACAGTCTCGGATATTCAGTTACGCAGCTCCTTCAAGCAAGCCTTCGGGAAGAAGAAGTCCCCCAAGTCGGCATCCTCTCATTCAGACATCGAGGAGATGACAGATTCTTCGTTGCCTTCCTCGCCAAAGTTACCACACAATGGCTCCACGGGTTCCACTCCGCTGCTGAGGGGCTCTCACTCCAACTCCCTGTAAGTCTGTCTGTCAGGGACACACGCTGGGCTGACGATGCCTTTGGCCTCTAGGAACTCCCTCAAACAGGAAGGGTTAAGTGTCCTGTTAGGATACATCTGCCCCTTGGGGTCTTGTATGTTGTGTTTCATAGGACTGGGCATTTTCCACCAATGTTTCAGGACTGGAGAGGTTGAAAGAGAAAGGAATCTTCCGTTGTCCCAGTGGCATTGCTGTAGCAGCCATGAGCAAGTTGCTTAACCTCTCTGTTTACGTTGTTTTATTTGCCAAAGTAGGATAATGGTTCTTGGCTACTTATCCTGTCCTAAGGATTGAACGAGATAAATGGATGGGAAAGAACTACAACCATCTTACTGGGAGGAAAGATGGTGTTACGCGTGTTCACAGTTTTTGCTGAAGTTCCAGTTCATTTTCGTGACAGAGCGTAAAGAGATGATGCCATTCTTCTGCGATCAAAATTTGGTGTTGACTCTTTTCTCCAAGGTCAACACTCAGCATTTGGAAGTTAAAAAAAATGGAGACGACTCGGTGACAATTGTCTTTACCAAAGGGTTCTATCTTTGGTAAAATGATTCATCTCCATGAACTCCCCTAGTGAATTAACATACAGTGCGGTATTGGTTTCAGGAGTAGAATTCAGCGATTCATCATCACATACAACACCCAGTGCTCATCACAGCAAGTCCCCCCACCTCTTAATACCCATCCCCCATCTAGCCCATCTCCCATCCACCTACCCCTGTCGACCCTCTGTTCTCTATCGTCAAGAGTCTCTTGTGGTTTGTTTCCATCTCTTCTCTCCCTCCCTTCCCATAGGGTCATCTGTTTTGTTTCTTAAATCCCACTGCATATGAGTGAAATCATAGGGTATTTGCCTCTCACTGGTTGATTTATTTCACTTAGCATAATACATTCTAGCTCTATCCACGTCATTACAAATGGCAAGATTTCATTCTTTTTGATGGCTGAGTGGTTTACTGATTAACTGAAATCTACGGGTAGTAAATTTTAGATGAGTCAGTTTGTACAGAGCTCCTCGGGAGCGCCGCTGCTCCTGTTAAGTGAGATAGGCGTTTGCTCACGTGACCTTGGCTTCTCTGCTATTCCCCTTGGCAACTAGGTAGGTAGAAGGGAAGAGTCGCCAACCTCCCATGATTTCCACTGAGCACCCACTGATCATTGCTCCATCAGAGGTATAGGGAGACAGTCCTGTGCCCCATCTAATAACAGAAGGCCCAGACTCCACAGACAGAAGTGCGTCAGGAATGGCTTGGGATGGACAAGTGGGGACGCAGGTGTCAGCTCCTGGAATAGTGAGAAAGATTACCCTTGCCCCATAGGACTGCGTTCCCTTAGAGACCATGAGTATACCAGGCCAAGAGTGAAAGACCTGGAGCTTGTGTGGTTTGCGGTACTGTTAGTAAGATGAGCCAGTACCCAGGAGAAGAGAGCTGCTGTGGCTGGGGTCCAAACAGCCCCTGAGCTAGGGTTGGACAAGGGAGTGGGTCGTTGTAGACACCTCAGTTTCCTCATTGGTAAAAAGGAGATTAATTACATCTACTTCCCTGGATCCTCGTGAGGGCCTAGTCAGACACTGTGCCTAAAGGGCCTCCTTCCTCTTCTCCTTCAGTCTCAGGAAGCCAGGTATGTGGTGCTGACTCTAAGTCCGCTTAACCATCCAGCCGCCGGAGCTGAAGACAGCAGCACCTGCTGATGACAGCAGCCTGCATAAGTGTCTGAAGGCCAGCTTACCAGATGGGTGCATGCCCTGTGAGCAGGGGGCTCGGCCAGGTCTTTGCAGCGCACCAGCCACGTGGTCACCGTGGAAGACAGAAAGTGGAAGACAAGAAAACAGCCTAAGGCCTTGAGTTTTTAGCAGTCCCACCCACCCATGAAGTATGGCTCTGTTGGGGAGTCTCCATTTTACTTAGATTAGCAGCTCCACTGAGGACAGGGCCACAGTGCGTCTAGGCCCGTGTTCTTGTGTAAAGAATTAGGTAAATGCCCAAGAGTGTGAGTCCTATTTGACCCACTAGGTGTCTCAGAAGTTAATAAGAGGCCAATTGCCTGTGACACACATGCCATCATCCCAGAGCACCTCAGTTTGTCTGGCCAGGAGAAAAAGGAACTCGCCTGTTCCTTATTTGTGGATTTAAGCATTGTATGTAACAACCCATGTAAGCGGGGCACAACTCTAGATGTTCTGAAGAGGCCTAAGGTGATGCTCACCAGAGTCCCACCCCTAGGGATTAGGGACCAGCGGGGACACCACCCAGTGTAGCTGTTTTACTTCTGAGCTTCTGCTCTGGCTCTGTGCCAGTCACCAGTTACAAGGGCGTACAAGACGGATAAAGTTCAGTTCTGGTAGACCAGGGCGCAAAGCAGACATCAAACAAGTAAATCTGAATAAACTAGAAAACAGCTCAGGGTTAGGTTAATGCTAGGAATTAAAATAGGGTGTTGGGATACGGAGTACTACAGCAACTGCAGACAGAATGGTCCGGAAAGGAGGCGACATTGCAGCTGAGATCTTCAAGACAAGAGGGACCGTTGGTTAGTTCTGGTCAGTGACCCTAGCTGCTGTAATACATGGAGTCCCAAAGCTCAGAACCCAGTTCTGAGTCGGGCAGCCTGCGTGGAAGACTCCTTCCATCTGGATCCACCCATCCCACTGGATCGGAGTCCTTCGCTGAGTGCTCTGTGTCCAGCCAGCAGGTGAGGTGGGGGAGGGGAGAGAGTGCAGGGGTTTCTAAGAGGGGTTTCTCTTAGAGAGTTTCATGGGCCAGACCTAGAGGAGACACATGTCCTCTCTGTCCACAGTCCACTGAACAGGGTCATCCCACCCACAAGGGAAGAAATGAAATCTCCGCACCCAGGAGGGAAAGGAAATAGACTGTGGGGAGCAGGGCAGCCTTCGCCCCAGATAGTTCAAGGAGCCTCAGGTGGAGACTGGGAACAAGGGATGGCCAGTGTGTGGCCAGTGTGGCTGCGGCATGGTTAGGAAGTAGGAAAGTGGTAAGAAAGGAGGCCATGGAGATAGGCAGGGCCAGACCACGGGAGACTTTGAAGTCAAAGTAAATTTGCATCTGCTTCTATGTGTGATGGGTTATCAGCCGTTGGAGAGGTTTCTTTTGTTTGTTTGTTCTTGAAGTTTATTTAAGTAATCTGTACACACAATGTGGGGGTTGAACTCACGACCCCGACTTCAAGAGCCACTTGCTCTAGCGACCGAGCCAGCCAGACAGCCCATTCACTGGAGAGTTTTAAGCAGGAATGTAAGATCATCTGAATTCATGTTTCACAAAGATCAGTCTCCTTTCTGTAGATAAGGAATAGAGAGGAAGGGCAACCACATAAGAGGCCAATAGCACTCTCCTCCTCATCCTCCCCACGATGGCCTGGTTCGTGTCCTTTGAGCACTCTAATCACACCCCCTTGCCCTTTCTTTGTTCTCTGCCTGGTACACTCTTCCTCTAGATATTCTCTTCCTTCATGTCTCTGTTCAGTGTTACCTTTTCAGTAATGCCTTGTCTGTGCACCTTGTGTAAAATAACGCCCCCATGATCGCCAGCACTCCCCATCACCTCTCTTTCCCCTGTTTTATTTTTTACCCTGGCACATACCACCACCTGACGTGTAGATTGCCCCAGGTTATTTGTTTTTTGTACCCCCCCCCTCTGCCAACACACACACCGCCACACAAAAATCTACAGTATAAGCTGCATGGAGGTAGATACCATTGGATTTGTAGACGTTCAGATCGTAAGTGAGACAAATGGTAATTCATAGCACAGGTGAGTTTAAGATGTGTTCAAGAAGAAAGTTGACAGCACATGGTGATGTGGAGTGTGAGGGGAAAGAGAAGAATAATCCTCGAATATTCCTAGGTTTGCAACTTGAGTACCTGGGTATGTGAAGGTACTGTTTCTTGAATCGGTAAGAGGTGCAGATGGGGCAGAGTGGGGGGAGCGTCAGGAGCTCTGGTTTGGCTATTTGAAGCCAGAGCTGCTCAGGAGGCATCCACATGGACATGCCAACCAGCCTGGGACTCCTGGAGGCGTAGATCTAGTGGACATGGGCTCATAGGTGGTATTGAAAGCTGGAATCTGGAGGGTTCTCTACGGGGTTGGATGGAGATGGAAAAGAGCCAGAGGGCCAAGGACTGAACTTTGGGTGCTCTGAAGAGAAAGGAGAGCGGCCAGCGAGATGAGAGGAGGTGGGAGGAAAACAGAAGCAGAGAGAAGAAACTTCTGGTAGCAGGGTCAAGTGCTGCTGGGTGGCCAGGGAGGATGAGGAAGAGAAAGAGAGGATGTCGCACTGGGCTGTGCAGCGCTCCCAGCGGCCACTGCGAGAAGGCTCCCTCCAAACCACTTTCCCCGGAGGGATCGGGTGGGGCAGACTCTGGGCACTGCTGACCTTCTCTGACATTCCACAGCATCCATGCACACTGGAGATGTTTGTTTTGGGTCCGGTTTTCCAAAGGGTGGGCAGAGAGCAAATGCTTCTTTCCAACCTTGAAGGGTTTGTAAGAATGTGCAAATCTAGATGTGAGAGGAAGTTCAAAGAAGAAACCCGAGGCAGAGAAGTGGAGGGTGGGGTAGGGGGCTCAGAAAAGTTCCTACCCTGTGGGCGAAAGGAATGGTAACGTGGGAAGGCAGTGTTTCCCATACTGGAGGCATTTAAAATTAGGTATGCCACCAACCCTGCCTTTGGGCCAAGACAGTGGAAATTTGGGAGTATCATGTTAGGGACTGAGTAGGAGAAAATCTACATCAGGTTGCTTCAGGAAGTAGTCCATGAAGTGGATGAGCATGTATTGAGTGCCTGCTGGATATAATTCAGGAGCATGGGCTCTAGAGTTACGTAGACCCACCAGACTTGATCATGATTTTGTCATTTTGGGGAGCGGGGAGGCTTGTTGTTATTTTTTAATGTTTATTTGTTTTTGAGGGAGAAAGATCATGAGCAGGGGAGGGGCAGAGAGAGATGGGGACAGGGGATCTAAAGCGACCTCTGTGCTGACAGCAGAGAGCCCAATGCAGCACTCACACTCATGAACTGTGAGATCATGACCTGAGCCAAAACCAAGAGCCGGGCACTTAAACAACGGAGCCACCCAGCTGCCCATGATTCTGTCATTTTTAATGGGCCTGTTAATATCTCTAGGACTCCTCCCCCCCACCCCCCTTTTAAAAGGAGATCATGGCAATACCTCTTCAAGGAGTTGTTAGTAGATGTAGTAAATTAAATAATACGCTTCACATGCCTGGCGTAGTCGTTTGTGTATTCCATATGAATTTACTGAGCACCTGTTATATTTGATCAGTGTGATCAGACACCAGAAATGATGCAGAGAACCCTGGTCCTGGAGCAGTCAGCCATGTAGGGGGTAACCTGTTGAGTGCAACCAAATTATCAGAGATGTACAAAGGTCTAGCATGGAAGGAACCAAGGGAAAAAGTGCTGTCCTGGGCAAGAGGGATAGATAGAGACTAAAACCTAGCTGGGGCTGCTGCAGAAGAATTTAATTTTCAGGGCACATAGCCGACTCAGTCAGTGGAGCATGACACTCTTGATCTTGGGGTTGTGGGTTCAAGCCCCACGTTGTTTGGTGTAGAGATTGCTTGAAAACAAAATCTTTAAAAAAAAAAAAAAAACCCTTAATTTTCAACATCTCTGTGCTAAGTAGGAGGACATCCCCTCTCATTGGCCAAGCGTCACAAAGTAGCTCATGTGATACAGCCCACAGAGGTGGGTGCTGAGGAAGTCTTGTCTGTCTTGTTGAGGAAGCTTCTGGGGAAAATGTACAGATCATGTGAAGGAGACTGGGGCAAAATGCCTTGCCCTGGAGCGCCAGACGCACCCGACTGATGGTGTGAATGGAGGCTAACTGTTCTCTACAGTGAATTGGAACCTTCCAAGTCTGTGCAGGGCGTGGTTTAGCGAAGCCTGGAGTGTCACAATGGAATTTTGCTCAGACTTTACTCTCCATTTAAACCAGGAACCCGTACTTCTCTCTCAAGAAGAAACTAGTGTTTGCAAGCTCCCACTGCAAACCTTGCAAACCAGAAAGGCATGACCATTTAGTTAAACCTTACAAACTATAGCCTACTCACAGCACAGAGAGGGGTGAGGGTTGGGGGAGGGGCAAGATCTGATTTCTAGAGACATTTTCTAGCCCTCTTAGTCCCAGATCTGTTGGCCTCGGTTTGTCATGGGTATAGAATGGGAATGATCATAATATTTTCAGGAGTGAGAGTTTTTAGAAGATTTTAAAGCCAAGAAACTCCCTTGGCTACTGACAACTTTTAAAAGTAGGAGGTGGTTTTCCTCTCTTTGCATCCCTCAAATGAAAACCATTCAGGTGTAGGTCAAGAAAATAACAACAGAACAGTTTGGCTATTCAGGTGTTAAATTTTTCTTCTAGTCCTTTCTGCCCCCCAAATACAATTACACTTCTTTCAACGATTATAAATGGTTTCCCCCTGGCAATGAACACTTCCACACCCTCAACCCGTTTTACAGGTCAGGCTTTTTTTGGCCTCAGATCCAGAATTTGGTCTTGGAGAGCAGGCTGCACAGTTATTTCTGCAGAGACCACATGTTCATCATATCTTTCAGAGATAATCAGCTTCAGCTTTGTAACTTTAGGAACATGTTCTTTTTTTTTTTTTTTTTTTTTTTTTTTTTTTTTTTTTTTCCAGTCTTCAGTCCAAGAAATGTCAAAGCTTCTTATTCTGGATCACCCCTCACCCCAGAACCAATGATCTTTGAAATCACCATCCTTTTTTTTTTTTTTTTTTTTTTTTCCCATAGAGCCACCTTTTCTAACATGGAGATTTGGTCTTCCATTTAGTGCTGACCTGCCAGGTATCCGAACAGCAAACCTGACTAATCACATAGGGAACCCAGCCTAGAAGGTGATAATGGCATATGGGTGGAAAGGACGACACTGAAAAACGCTGTTGCTCAATTTTCACCTAAAACTGGCTTCTGTATCCTATCACCCTGTCTGCTGACTGTGCACGATGTTTCCCTTCCTTGCTGAGAGCTTATGAAGCAGTGTGGAAGGGTGGGGGAAGGAAGGAATGTTGTTCTCTCAAGACACTTTCAAAAGACTGAGTTTCAGAATGTGACCAAAAATAGACTAACTCCCTCCACAGGAATCTTTAGGTTACTTTCATTTGGGGGCAAATAAAAATCACTCCTCAGCTTTCTGACCTTAGAGTGTCTAATCTTTAAAACAGACAGTTGACCTTCCTTCTCTGAGTGGGTTCAGATCTCAAGGAGCCTGTGGTGTCATTAAAGGGGCCCAGCTGGGTACACATTGGAGGGGGGGGGTGGTTTCAAGCCCCAAAGGTTACTACTCCCTTTGGCCAGCTCCTGCTTATCCCAGATTATTGGAACTTTGTCGAAAGGCACACCAAAGCCATTCTGAGTGTCAGAGCTCTGCAAGGGAAGATGGTAATACAATCTGTGAATTTCAGGTGCTTTGATCTTATTGCCTCCAGGAAGCACTGGGAAGATGGTTAGACAGGGTCACTGCTGCACAGACCTGCTGATGGATGTGGACCAGTGGTCAGTGGAGGACTGGAGGGAGATGAACTCAGAGCTGTTCTCATCAGTAACACCCACCCCCCTTCCCTAGAATTTCAGAGTGCATGGACAGTGAAGCCGAGACAGTCATGCAGCTCCGAAATGAGCTGAGAGACAAGGAGATGAAGCTGACAGACATCCGCCTAGAAGCCCTCAGCTCCGCACACCAGCTCGACCAGCTCCGGGAGGCCATGAACAGGATGCAGGTGAGCCCGGGAGCATGGGCTGGGCCCAAGGCTGTCTGGGGAGGGAGTGGCAGGAGGCTGCTCTCTGCCAAGCTAGGGGTGCAGACCGTTGCAGCCCTCTGCTTTCCTAGCCTCTTTCTCTCTTTTCTCTTTCTATTCCAAAGCAGCGAGTCTCCTCCTCTTTTCATGTCCTCCCGGATATTGCCCAAAGATGAGTCTTTTCAAGGTATGGGAGGAACCATGCGTCTCCCCTTTGTGTAACTTTCAGTGGCTCTGCCATTGGCTCTTACAAGTTCATTTATTTATTTTTGAGAGAGAGCGAGCTGGGGAGGGGCAGAGAGAGGAAGAGAAAGGATCCCAAGCAGGCTCTGCACTGCCGGCACAGAGCCTGACATGGGGCTCGAACTCAAACCGTGAGATCATGACCTGAGCCAAAACCAAGAGCCGGATGCTCAGTCTACTGAGCCACCCAGGCGCCCCCCTTTTTGCTCATAATCTACTACCCACCTATTCACAGTTCTACTTTCCAGACTCAACTCAATGGCCAGAGGGAGCCCCTGCTCCCTTTGGCTGCCCAGGGATTTCTGTTTCATCTAGTTCCCTCCACAAGGATCTCTTTCTGCACATCTGATTTGGACCCTTTCCTCAAAGTTGAGCCTCTTACTCTGCAAAGTTTTCCCAGGCCCTGCATTCTGGAAGCGTTAGTGCCCTCGTCTGAATTCCTATAGATTTGTTCTTACAACCCCTTGCCTTCCATCATGGATTGGAAGGCATTTGGGTCTTTTAGCTTTTTTTTTTTTTTTTTTTTTTTTTGCATCCCTTTCTCAGGCTGTAGCACCCATGCTTTGCACATAGTAGGGTTTTCTCTAAATATTCATAAAAATGAAAGAGCCCTGTGGGCTCTGCCAAACGGGACCTCACTGGAGGACAGCATCTTCCAAAGGGGGTTCCATGGAACACTTGTTCCAGGAGAGCCTCAGCGAAAGGAAAACTCTTTGATCAACTGTGTTGAGGGTTGCTACTTCTTGTGTGCCCCTCTGAGCTCCCCAGTGCAGAGGAGTTCATAAAGCCTCTGAGTCCTGCAGGAAAGACACCTGTCAAGCCCAGAGTCACTCAAACCTCTTAGATTGTAGGCCCCTTTTTCACTTAGGACTCGGGCAGCAGACTCTGGGAAACATTTCTGAGTGCTTTTCAGAGGCCATCTCTCTGAAAGGATGGCCCTTGCCCTGCCAGACAGGTCTTGTATATATGCAAACAGCAAGCACAGCCGAATCTCTCTGGCAGTGTGACTGACAGCCTCGGCTGGGGTACCCACTTGATCCCTGCAGGGAACCTTCCGATTCCTCCTCCAGAATAAGGCTCGTCCGCGTTACCTCCACCTAGTAAGTGAACCTCTCCCTTACTCTTCGCAGAGTGAGATAGAGAAGCTGAAAGCTGAGAACGACCGGCTAAAGTCGGAGTCTCAAGGCAGCGGGTGCAGCCGGGCGCCCTCCCAGGTGTCTCTCTCCGCCTCCCCTAGGCAGTCCATGGGCCTCTCCCAGCACAGCTTGAACCTCACCGAGTCAACCAGCCTGGGTGAGTGGCATCACGGGACTGGGGGCAGGTCGGGGCCTGCAGCTGGCACTCCACTCTCCAAGCAAGAGCCCCGAGATAAGCAGGTGAACAGATCAAATGGAGAGGCAACAGGCGTGTGTGCACTTGGGGTGTGTGTGTGTGTCTGGGTGTGCGTCTGCTACCAACATGAGCCCAGCCGTTAGACTGCTGTCATGCTTTGCTCCAGTGCCCCGAATTCTCCAAGCCACACGCTTGGATCCTCTCGTCCACCATGTTGAGTTCCGTTTGATCCATTTGAAGAGGCTGTGACCTGCAAGCCGAATGCTGCATAGAAACCCCATAGTAGCAGGTCCCAGTTGGGGCAATGGCTTGGTGTACGTACGGTCTTCCCGCCTTCAGGATGGATTCCAGGCCGGCACCGTAACTAGCCAACACGATCTAGGTTTTCTTTGTAAGCATATTGAGGCTGGCGCTTTGATTTCTTACCCATGATGCTGCGTTTCTGTCGTTTTGGTTGAGCCTCTGCCTCGCACTTCCATTTGGCAAGGTACATCGTCAGCCTGCTGGCTCCTCGGTCGGTCCACCGTTGGTTTCTGTGGTTGCATTCTCCATTCCGCCCTCCCCCCTTCCCCGCACCCCGACACCTGGTTTGTCCCGCTGCCGTGTGGACAAGCAGCGGGGGTGTCAGGAAGCCGGCTTTGCTGTCCCCATGTGCCTAAGGCTGTTGATGTTTTCCATTCGCAGACATGTTGCTGGATGACACTGGTGAATGCTCGGCTCGGAAGGAAGGAGGCAGGCATGTTAAGATAGTTGTCAGCTTTCAGGAGGAAATGAAGTGGAAGGAGGTTAGTTGGATCCCTTTCCCTGCTCTGCTTGTCCCTTCCCCCAGGTAGAACTACCTAGCTTAGTGATGTCATCGTCAAACCGGATCACCTCAGCACCTGAGGTGATCTGGAAGTACTGCTAACCCCTTCCTTCACTAACCATAATCCCCAGCAGCATCTTGACACAATTAAAGGGAGCAAACGGCTCTTCCTTCCCTCTCTTGTTTGCAAAGTCTAATAAAGGGTGCTAAAAATATTCCCCTGCTGCCTTTCCACGGAACCAACTAAACACTGCCATCAGTCAGAAATGGCCTTTCTGAGGTCATGTGTTCCTAAAGCACTTCTGAGGCAGCTAAGCACCGTGAGCACAGAAGGCACAGAAGCAAACTGACCAATCCCAGCTGACCCGAGAGCACCCGTTTTGCCCGGTGTTCAGAGACTGCGGAGAACGTGGGAGACTGAGGTGGCCCGGTGACACACGTGGCTAAAAGTGAAGCCAGTGGGGCGTCCTGACTCCCCGAAGCTGAGGAATCTCAGTTTTCTGAGGAGTTTCTGTTCTCTTCCAGAGTCTGAGGAGGCCACACCCGCACTAGGGACTATTTTGGGGTAGGGGTGGGGGTTGACAAAGTTCATTTTTAGTCATTGATTAAATCCAAATGACCATCTCATATAAGTGGAGAAAGACTTCACAAGTCGCTATTTCAAGTCCTCTTCAGTTTTTTGTTGGATGTTTCTTAGCATTCTCGCCAACACACTATTTGTAGTCTTGGAGTGCTAGGGAACCCACAGTGCCCACCGAAACAAAGCGTGTGCAGCCAGACTTTCTTTGCCAGAGGATTCCGCTCTGTGGCTGGCCCTTGAGTCTTACGGGAGGGGAAAGGCCCCGAGTTTGGAGCTGCCAGTGATTTTCTCATCATCTAGCCTAAAAAAGATCCAATACATATAAAGAGCTCCATTTTCAGAGCTTGACTAGTGATAGGACTATCAGGGGAAAATCCATTCTTGGAACATTCTTGTAAAAAAAAGAAATCAGGGGATACCTGTGGATTTGCATCATTCTCGTGGTCCTCAGCATGAACAGGTAAATTGTACATTTCACAAAAGTTTGAGTCCCTCTTAAAAATTGGATCACCACAGCATCCAGATGAAGTTGGTTGACCAGATGATGTCGCCTCAGTTTACAACTGAGAAACATAATGCCTGAGCATCACTTACTTAAGATTACAAGGGAGCTGGGGAGGCCAGATCTTCTCACTGCAAGGCCGGTGCTCTTTTCTCTGCTGATTTTGCTTAATTGCCACATATGCCACTGTCCCCCCGCCCCCTGCTGCCACCCTCATATTTCTGTATCCTTATGAGCATGTCAGATCTAAGATTTTAAAATCCAACAAAACGGAATGTTCTATTAGTTTTTGTTACTGTCGTGATTAGTTAGCCCTGACCATGCAGAGCCCTGGGCACACAAATTCAAAAGAAAGAGAAAGAGTATTTTTTTATGAACTTCCCAGAGTTTTGTTTTCTGAATCGAGTATGTTTTAATTAGCAGAAAAGCAATACACGTTCTTAAAAAGAAGACAAAAATTGAACATACTCTATCCTGAGGGAGTTTAAGATTTGGCAAGGAGACAAACTTGACTTACAAGTAAGACATAGATACCTAAAAATAAACAAGTATAGAAGATATCAATATATAAGTTACGTACGGAACCACTGAAGCATGTCAGCTCTGAGCCTGGTGGATTAATCATTGAAGGCTTCTTAGAAGAGGTGAGTTTGCAAGCAAGGTTTGGAAAGGGAGAGATGGCAGATAGGAGAGGGGAAAGCATTCCAGGCAAGGGATGTGATCTACGCACCTACACAAGGTATACCTTTGGTAGAAGGTCCTAGATTCCAGAGAGGAGATCCTCTTTTCCTGACCCACGGATTGGTATTTTTGCAGTGGAGCGGGAAAGATTTAAGACCATTGCATTCGATCTAAGTTAAATCGTAATCTGGTGTTAAAACAAATAGGACTTTTATTTCCCTCTCAAACCATTGGTGGAGTTCTAAGGCAATCTGAGTCCTTGCTAACATGTGTCAAAAAAGATTCACCTGTTTTTCCCCTGCATACATTTCCTTACCCTTAGGATTCCAGACCACACCTCTTTCTTATTGGCTGCATTGGAGTTAGTGGCAAGACGAAGTGGGATGTGCTCGATGGGGTGGTTAGACGACTCTTCAAAGTAAGTGTCTAAGAAGACAGCTGCAGTAGTCTGCCTGAAGTGGGTGCCTGGGCTCAGGGAGGGAAGGGGCGGTCTGTGTCCCGAACCTGGCCACTTCTTGGGCCTGCTCCCCACCCCATCCTTGTGTTGCTGGCTGGGACTTGTCCCCTGGCACTCAAGTAACAGGAAAATGGTAAGTACAGACTGATGATTGCCCACACTGTTCTCGGATACCCTTGGCAGTGATTGGCCAGCCAGCGAGGGTCATCTCCCCAGCCTTGATCGAGTATTTGAGCCTCTTGTGGTGAGCTGCTTATGTTCAAATTCTCCCTTCACCTTAGAAGCGTGTCCTGTTGAATACGCTTTGGAGTGAGTGCCCTGTGGCCAAAGCTAAAACGTCAAATTTCCATTCTTCATTTCGGGAGGATTTGACCTGACTTGCCCAGCATCCTTGCCAACACTGCAGAGTCTGTGATCTGTGCTTCATGTAACATTAACATCTCATCAATGGCCAGAGTCAAGGATATCGGCATAGTTATTTTTGTAGTTGTTCTACTGGAGTGGGTGGGTGTTTGTCACAGGAGAGATAACTAATGAGTCCTGAAGTGAACCTTCAATCACAAGGTGGTTTTGGAAGAAGCTTTTCATACATGTTTTTTCTATCGTCCTGAAGTGAGTCAGCAATCCTATGTGTTCATTAATCATATCCCCTGAGCAATAATGGTAACCTATATTTTTGGTGCTAGAGGTCATGCTAACATAACCCCAATTTATCTTCAGGCCTGTGAGGAAGGTCCTATTAGTTTCCCACTTAAAGAGGAGGAAAGTGAGGCTCAGATCACGTCACTTGCCCAAGGTCGTGGACCTAGAAGTCAACCATGTTGGTCTAATTGAGCTGGTCTGACTTCAAAACCTGACTTAACTAGTATACTCCAGTCTTTTTCTAGCATCTGGTTTCAGCTGGTTTCACACACAGGAACTTCTGTTCTCTGACCAGAGATCATTCCCCGTCTTGGCAGGCTGCAGAAATGTGACTGGGCAAGAGATGTGAATGGCTGAGGGCAACCCACTCCTGCTGCCTAGAGCCAAAACCTTAATTCTGCTGATGGGCAGTCGGGACATCCTTGGATCAAAACGACCAACAGTTTGGGCTGAAAAGATCCTGTTGGGGCATCATATGTGAGGAAGTGAGACCATTAAAGGTAGAGAGGCCTGTTACCAGTATTTCACATCAAGTCATTGTCCAGCCACCACCTAGCCCATGGACCTTTGGTCCAAGTTCACTGACCTAAAACCTTTTGGTCACTTACCTCAGAGGGAACACCTTCCAAATTAAACCCAACTTTTCCTGTTTAAAGATCAGGAGCTGTTTTTTTTTCTTGCAGCCCCGGGGCTTGTTCCCTTTGTCATCAGTGTAGTCTTTGTTCTGAGCCAAGGAAAGGGGCCTTGGAGTATACTAGTTAATTTCTTGTCAGAATTACTTTCTCGTGCATTTTCCAGCACTATTCACAGGCCCTAGCACCTTAAGGACTTCAGCTGAACTGACGCAACGCAGCCTAAGTTTTCCTTGCTTGGTTCATCCAGACTAAACGTTCACGATTGTGTTAGGGCTCCCCCCACATCACTAACCAAATAAATCTGTACTTTAAGAGGCCTGTGATACTTGGGAATCATCCCCATGGAAAGCCAGCTCTTCTCACCTCGTTCCACAGCTCGGTTTCAACCCAGGCGTCAACTGAGAAAGAAAATGACCATAAATCACCCAAGGAAAACATGAGTCATGGGCAGATTCTAGCCACATCTTTGATAGGGTCTTGATTTTATTCTTCCCAGGAGTACATCATTCACGTCGACCCCGTGAGTCAGCTGGGGCTGAATTCAGATAGCGTTCTGGGCTACAGCATTGGGGAAATCAAGCGCAGCCACACCTCGGAGACCCCCGAGCTTCTTCCCTGTGGCTATCTGGTCGGAGAGAACACGACCATCTCCGTGACTGTCAAAGGTAACTCGGCCGATTGTGGAGGTCGGAGTTTTCAAGAATTGAGCTTTTGTCTTGTGACTTGGCAAAACATGGTCGGAAATCATGGCCACAGTTTTGTTTGCACATGTGTGTGGGGGGTTGGGGGGGTGGTTTCTCCTCCCCCACCCCCGCCCCACTGCAACCGCAGTCATTCTTACCTAAGCAAGTTGAACGGTTTTTTAGCTTTTTCAACCACCACCGGAAACAAACAATTTTAGTTTATTGCCGAAATTATATAACAAAACGTCCCATTAGCCTTCTGACTCTAAGATGATGGAATCTTAATAACCCTGCTGAAGTGGGGCTCCACCAATACCAGTGGACTCCTCTTGCCAGCTAGCCTTGGACGTGGTCCCATTCTATGGATGGGAGCCACAATCTGCTCTAGAGGCATTGCTCAGAGCACTCTGATGAAATTTCTGAAGCTCTTGCCTACACACAGTGCTGCCGGTGCTTCCGATTGCCTCATCACCTCGGATGTTAAGCCCCAGGCCAAAGTGTATTCCGTGGAACTCTAGGCCCACAAAGTATCTTGTGGGGGAAAAAACAGTGTCGTGGCCAAATAAGTCTAGAATACTACATCATTATACCCATTTGGATGTAGGGGCAGAAAGAGAAGAATGTGCTGGTGCACTGACTCTATAATTTAATACACTAACTCTTGCCGTTAAAAAGGCTGTTTGATCCAGTCTGACACCAATGTATTTGGGTGCAACCCCCTTTTTTCCCTGTATTTTATGAACCCACAAAGAATAGATTAATAAACAGTATATGAGGCTCAGCATTCAGGTTGTCCCATTTCTTAATTCCCTGGAAGGCACAGCTCTTGACTGGAGTTTTAACAGTGCACTTTTGGGGTGGTTTGATGCAAGCTTTGTCTCCTGGTTGCAAGGTTTTCCAGAAGCACCTCACCATTCCTTATCAGCAAAAATCTATATGCTTGCTCTGACGATGGCGAGCTGTCTGTTACTACTCCTTGAGCCTCACCCACAACCTTCTTATCTGGCTAGCAAGCAAAATTGCACAAACGTGGTCTCAGGCTGTAAGTGACAGAAACCTACCCCAAACTAGCTTTATCAAAAAAGGAAATGCACCTGGAAAATCCTGGAATACGCTTCAAACACTACTGGGTCCAGGTATCCCAAGAGTGCCATCAGAACCAGACCCGCCTCAGCCTTGCATATTATCTGAGTTCTCTGCATGTGGCTGCTAAAATGGCCCTGGTAGCCCTGATAAATCCTTCTGGCTTGGGATTCACCAAGAAAGAGAATGTCCTTCTGGAAAGGTATGACAGAAAATCCTTACAGGTGATTCTGGCCCACCTGGGTCAAATGGCCATCACCGAACCAGTTATTATGACCAGGGAGATGGTTTGGCCCAGCCTGGCCCCACGTTCGCCCCTTGGTGGCTGAAGGTGCTGGGTCGGCCCCTCTTGAACCACCTTGAACAAGCCCCCCATGAGAAAGACGAGTCCTGCTACAAGGGGCAGGAGGAGGGGGGACCAGGCACACCGAAACAACGCTTCAAGGAAAGCCTCTTATGTCACCGGTTCAAGCCGTGTCTCATCCATGCTGGTGAGCACACGTCGTCACTTGCAGGCGACAGCTACAGGCATTGAGGGGCGAAAGAAGTGATCCACTGCAGGGACCAGACCTTTGCACAGATGGTGACAAGGCGGTCTGCCGCAGTGGAACGTGCCACTCCACCACGGAGCCCGGCCTGCCACTGTCAGCACACCAGGTTGTTCAGCATCTCGAGGCATCAGCTCAGGTTTATTTACTTAATTTACTTTTATTTTTTAGAGAGAGAGTATGAACAAAGGAGAGAGGCAGAAGGAGAGAGAGAGAGAATATCAAGCAGGCTTCATGCTCAGAGCAGAGCCCGATGTGGGGCCCAATCCTACAACCCTGGGATCATGACCTGAGCCAAAATCAAGAGTCAGACGTTCACCCGACTGAGCCACCCAGGTGCCCCAGCTCAGGTTTATTTTTAAGTGACACCTGACTCTTCTGTTTTCTGGTGGTGCTTGAAACTTACGCCTTCAAGGCATGATAAACCACGCAAGGGTTTGAGCCAAGAGGTCCGTGGGCTGTGGATGGTCCACCTAAGTGGTACCAGAGGCAGGGATGTGACTGAGCATGCCTGAAGTGAGTTCATCTGCAGAATAGTCACTCCCAGGGGGTTTTAGGGCAAAAGACCAAAAGAGCAGCCTATATGTAGAGAGAGTTGTTTTTGTGGGTTTTTTCCTCCCTTACTATTAAGTTTAGACGAGAGACCTTACACTCTGCACTTCGCATCAAGTTTGAGCCAGTATAGATTACACTGAACTCAGTACCAGGAAAGTCTCGGGCCTATACCCAGAAGCCAAGTCATTCAGGAACCTCCACCTTGGTCATTCTGGAATAGTCCCTTGCATTTAGGGACTGTTCTCGGTTAGGGGAGGATTAGAGACAAGCATATAAATGCATTTGAGGGGTCTGTTTGCAGTGAATTATTATGTGGAAGGAAGATGCTATTATAAAATCAAGTAAATGGGGGAACCTGCCTGGCTCAGTCGGTAGAGCATGTAACTCTTGTCACAGGTTGTGAGTTCAAGCCCCACACTGAGTGTAGAGATTACTTAAAAATAAAATCTTTAAAAAATAAAATAAGAAAGAATAAATGCTCTTCTTTTTTTTTTTCACATACGTATACTGGTTTTCTTCAGGTGAGTTTTAACAGAATTGCCTTAGGTTTCAGACAGGTAACCTTGGATGGACCTTCTTTTGAGAATGGTATCAAGACAATAACTCTTTTTAAAAAGCCAACAGCGGGGCACCTGGGTGGCTCAGTCAGTTAGGCGGCTGACTTCGGCTCAGGTCATGATCTCGCGGTCCGTGAGTTCGAGCCCCGCGTCGGGCTATGTGGTGACAGCTCAGAGCCTGGAGCCTGTTTCAGATTCTGTGTCTCCCTCTCTCTGACCCTCCCCCGTTCATGCTCTGTCTCTCTCTGTCTCAAAAATAAATAAACGTTAAAAAAAAAAATTTATAAAAAAAAAAAAAGCCAACAGCCCTGATTGGTGGAGATGTCTCAGGTAGGAGAAGGGAAGAATGCATTTCCTCTTGACTTTGAGACTCAGAGGTCTTAGCATCGTAGCCTTTGCCTGCCGATCATCATATCCCCAAATCAAATTGCATTTCTTTGTTTTAAAGATGAAAGCGTTGCTGCCTTTGTGGCGTATGTGAGTGTGGGCAGCAGTGGCACGCGGGAGCAAAAAGAGTGACAGGGCAACCCCTGGGGTCCTGGCAGACACGGGAGACCCAGGTTTGGTTTGGGCAAACCCCAGTGGGTAAATCCAGACAGCCAAGCAGAGCCCAGTCTTAGGAACTCTGCAGAGGACAGACGGGGGCCCAAGGGCCCCGGTGTTAAAGTTGAGTCTGCGTCCAGCCAGGGGCTGGAGCACGTGGTACTCGTGATCAGGGAGCAACGGCCACTTGTGCCCAGCCTGCCACGTACCTGGGTGGGCAGCGGTCTCCAGACGAGTGGCCGCCACGGAAAAAGATAGGCTGCCCCAGGTGGCAAGTGCAGAGCTTCCCCGGGGCTTCAGACGATTCCCGTCCCTCTCCAACGCAGGGCTCGCGGAGAACAGCCTGGACTCGCTGGTGTTCGAATCCCTGATCCCCAAGCCCATCCTGCAGCGCTACGTCTCCCTGCTGGTGGAGCACCGGCGGATCATCCTCTCCGGCCCCAGCGGCACCGGGAAAACCTACCTGGCCAACCGGCTGTCCGAGTACCTGGTGCTTCGGGAGGGACGGGAGCTGACAGACGGCGTCATCGCTACCTTCAACGTGGACCACAAGTCCAGCAAGGTGAGGCGGTCATCCAGAGGCTGCTGTTTGGCCCCTTCAGAACTGTTGATGCAGAGCGCCTTGATGGCTCAGTCGATTAGGCGTCCGACTTCGGCTCAGGTCGTGATCTCGCAGTTCATGGGTTCGAGCCCCGCATCGGGCTCTGTGCTGACAGGAGCCTGGAGCCTGCTTCTGATTCTGTCTCTCTCTCTCTCTGCTCTTCTCCTGCTTGTGCTCTGTCTCTCTCAAGACGAAATAAACATTAAAAAGAAAAAAAGAACTGTTAATGCCACTGCCACCCTGATGGGAAATCAGCATTTCCTCTGTGTTCTCCCTTGGTGGTTATGAAAGCCTGGTGAAGGAAGTCACGGTGGGGGAGCAGAAAGGAAGGCTTTCATCCACAGCTTCAGTGAAAAGCGACATCTGTAAGGCGAGCTGGCTCATTCCTCACTCGTCCGCTATGAGCCGCGTATGAAGCTCAGTGTTAGTAGGTCTTTAGGTTCGCCCCCAATGCATCTATTGTAGTTTACCAAGAACTTGTCACGTGCCGTCTCGGTGCTGTCATCTCTCCCAAATGTAACCTCTTCAGGAACAGCGATGACACTAATAATAACAACAGCTCACATCACACACTGCTTGCCATGACCAGCAAACTGACTGCCTTACAGCAATATTCTCACGGGAGAGGTTGTTGTTACCTTGGTATCACAGAAGAGGAACCTGAGGCTTGAGGCAAGTGGCCATGTGCCTAGGACCCCTTGAATGGTACAGGGCAGTGGACTAGGGCTCAAGTCGGAGTCTTAGACTCTAGAGCTAGCAGATGGGCTCAATCCTGCTTCATGGGGACCAGTGGAGACGTTTAGACCTAGGCCCGGGCGAGGGTTGGGAAATGTTTTCTCAAACTTGATCACTGTTCAACACAGTGGGAGGTGATGGATGGTTCGCTCTGGCTGGCCCTGAGTCAAAGGTGATTGGGAAATGACTCTTCTGCCTTGAATCACCTGGCATGCTCAAAGATGTAGATTCCTAGACCTCATTCCCAGATGATTGCTTTCAGTAGGTTGAATGGGAACCAACTGGCCAGGAAATTGTGCCAGCTCAGTCTCTTCCTCCTCTTCTTCCTCCCCTGACACACATCCCTAACCCTAGCCGTGCTGGGCTGCATACCAGCTCCAGATCAAGCCAATCCCCCTTGTGTTCTCCACAGTTCAGTTCAGAGCTTACCCTTTCCACCAGATATCCCGGGGCTTCCTGTGCATGTAGACCCCCTGCCCCTGCACGGTTCGTTTTCTGTCTGTGATGGCACCAGTCAGCAGTGCTTACCTCTGTGTGGGGATGGCTCCTTTGCTGTATTGATTCATCGAGGGCTTCTGTGTAAACAGCTCTCAGGCAAGTGCGAGCTTACTGGAGGGGGAGCATGATAAGCAATATCAAGAAGAATGACAATACTTCTAGAAGAGTGTCAGAGCAGAGACATAAAACTATGCCTGGGCACCCCATGGTGCTGTGCTCCTGCCCCAGGCAGAAGGAGTTCTGTTACCTGGTGAATTCCAGGAGTCTGGACCCAGGCCTTCCCCACCCCCTGCCCAGCCCAGTGCTGTGCAGTAGATGGGCACGCAACACTTGTTCACCACACGGCCTCCTGAAAGGCCTTTGCACCTGCGTTGACCCGGGCAAAGTGAAGGCTCCGAGTATGTGCATCTTTCCGGGGTGCGTTCACCCACTTATTCTTTACCTGGCCTCCACAGGAATTGCGCCAGTACCTGTCCAACCTTGCTGACCAATGCACCAGCGAGAACAACGCTGCAGACATGCCCCTCGTCATCATCCTGGACAACCTGCATCACGTCAGCTCCCTGGGCGAGATCTTCAATGGGCTGCTCAACTGCAAGGACCATAAATGGTAAAGGCCGGTTCCGGGCCTCCTGGCCCCCAGGAAGCCGGCGGCCACATGATGTGTGCTGCGTGGGCACTGTGCTCACGTGAGGGTTGGGGTGGGGGTGGTGGGGGAGGCAACCAGCCACCTGCCTGGATGCTCAGACAACACGGGCTTCTGTGAGCACCTGCTCTGGCTTGGCTTCGAGTCACAGAGCCTTCTTTTCCTTCCTGTCCCCCGCAGCCCTTACATAATTGGCACAATGAACCAGGCTACCTCTTCTACCCCCAACCTGCAGCTTCACCACAACTTCAGGTAAGGGATCACTTTTCAAGGGCCAGCACTGGGTTGGGCATCGTGCTGGGGATCCTCCCCAGCCTCACTCATTTAATTCTCATGGCAGCGTCACTAGTTTATCTTGCTGGTGGGGGAGACCGGGGCTGAGAGAATTGATTCCTGTGAGGTCACACAGCTGGCCCGTGGAAGAGCGGAGACAGGAGCCCAGGTCTCCCCGACTCTCCGCCCCGGGGGTGGCAGTGTCAGGATGGCAGCTCTGGGCTTGCGTCCCCTGTGCGTTTCCTGCAACGCGTCTCTCCATCCCTAGTGAACTTGAGCAACGGAAGCTCTTGCTTATGAATGTCCCCTCGTCGCTGGGTCTGTGGGCCTGTGAGTCCCCCGCGAGTCCCTCTGCCCCAGTGCTGTAGTAGGGAGCCGTCCCTGTGGGGGTGCAGGAGGGGCTGTCCAGATCAGTCGTGCGAGGTTGTGTTGCTGCTTGCCTGGGCCCTTACGTGCGGCTGAGAAGCCGCTCTGGGGCCACCCCCCGGCTCCCTTACACTGGCGGCACTGCACGCATCCTAGAGGGCGATCTGTTGGAAGTGGACCTACATCGTAACCGTCAGAAATGGTGATGCCCCTGGGCCTGACGTCATGGCCACCTCTGCATCCAGGCTGTCCTGTCCCGTCCACGCTTTCTCCTCCTGCCCCCAGCACCACCCCGTCTCCCAATACACCGCTGCAATCATTTTGTGGCCAGTGGGCCTACCTGCAGCTTGGCTCCCTGCAGGCAATCTCCTGTGCCAGCTGCATCCAAGTGAGCATTCTAGAATTCAAATCTGACCATAAAGCCCTCATGCTTTAAAGTCCTTCAGGGGCTCCCCATTGGCTCCAGGATGGAATCAGACTCCTTAGGTGGGCTGGTCAAGTCTAAACACTGAATTACACTGGTTGCTCTGAATCTCTGGCAGTTTCCCACACACCCCACGTACGTGTGCAGATGGTGCAGCATGGCCTGCGGCCCGCACCCCAGCCCCCTTCTGGTCTCAGACATCCCCTCCTCTGAGAAGCCTTTCCTAATTCTCCAGGTTTCATTACGTCTCATTCCTCTGTTTGCTTCTCTGCTTCCTCCGCTGGGCTGTGTGCTTCTAGGGAACAGGGACTGTGTCTTAGTCTTGGTTATAGTTCCAGAGGCCGACACAGGGCCTGACTTCCAACACAAGAGGCAACAGCCTTGGTGGTTAGAGCCCAGACACTGGGGCAGGACTGTCCTAGTTCTAATCTTAGCCCTTCTATTAACTAGCTGTTTGATCTCGGGCAAGTTGTGCAACCTGTCTATGCCTCAGCATATCTGTCTGTGAAATGGGCAGTCATAGGGCTGCTGTAATGAATTGGGAGTTCATGTGTGTCCAGCATTAGATCAGTGTTTGTTGTATAGTGAGGCCTGTCCTATTAACATAGACACTCTCCAGATCTAATGAGCTTTGACTGGGGAGGCTGGTGTCGTTTTTATCAGTCAGCATCATTGAAAATTATCGCTGACTTTCCTCCAGGTGGGTGCTTTGTGCCAACCACACAGAGCCCGTGAAGGGCTTCCTTGGCCGGTTCCTAAGGCGGAAGCTCATGGAAACAGAGATCAGTGGGCGGGTACGGAATATGGAGCTGGTAAAAATCATTGACTGGATTCCCAAGGTCTGGCATCACCTCAACCGCTTCCTGGAGGCTCACAGCTCCTCGGATGTCACCATAGGTAGGTGGGAGGCTGGGCAGGGGCAGGTGGGTGGCCTGGCTGGGGGACAGGCACTGCTCCTGGAGCTCTGGTGTTCTCAGATGAGTGTGCTCAGGGCCTTGGCCAGGAGAGCACTTTGCAGGCACAAGTCAGCTGGACGCTGCACTGTCCATATGGATGAGAAGGGGACAGAGGGACAGTCACAGCCCAAGGCAGACCCTAGACTGGCAGTCATCTGCATCCGGTGCTATGTCTCCACCGCCCCGCCATCTCGGCCCAGTGCACCAGGGCTGATCAGCAGCAGAGAGGGGCATCCAGCCTTGGCCGTTGCCAAAACTCCTGGCTCAGCAAAGAGCCCCCACGACAAGGCTCCCACAGGAGCAAACCACCCTGCAACACTGGCTTTGCTTTAACAACAAAGTGTTATCAACATTCCTGAAGCTTAGGGTTCAGAGAAAAAAAGGCCACCGATCATTCCCACATCCTGACGTGATCATCTTAATTTGAGCTTCTGTTTTCTGTGTCTACACAGACGTGCTTCATGTAGTTACGATCCTAGTGTGCACACAGGATGCTCTTTTCACTTTGTCCTAAGAGCAGTCTCCGTTTTTACAGTCCTTTTCAAAGGCTGCAAAATAGGCAAATGCAGGTGTACCGCTGTTTGCTTAATGGTGTCTCTTCTCTTGGACATTTCATGCGCTTCTGTTTCAAAGGTCAGGATTAATAATATTGCATCGAACATCTTTCTCTGTAAAGCCTCTCCTCGCTTCTGTGCGATTTTTCTGGGGGAGAGAGATCCCAGGGTGGGGTTAGGGATCCCAAGTGTAATGCCCTGTGCCCACCACCCGACAGTTGGCATTTCTGCTGTCATTCAGAAAGATCACAGGAGCCCTCTGTGGGGTTTGTTCGGAACGTGGCTTCTCTTAACACCCCAATTTCAGCTCTGATTTTTCCCTCTGGTCCCCAGGCCCCCGGCTCTTCCTGTCCTGCCCCATCGATGTGGATGGCTCGAGGGTGTGGTTCACCGACTTGTGGAACTACTCAATTATCCCCTATCTCCTCGAAGCCGTCAGAGAAGGACTCCAGGTGAGGAACACACTTGCTACTGGCCTCAAAATCGGGGGTCATTCGGGTGACCAGATGAGTTGTTTTCATCTCCTCCTCTAGGGGTCTGACGTGGGGTGCCAACACCTCACCGGCGAGGCCATCAGTCCAGCACAGAGTGGGACACACACTGAGCTGTAAATCCGGGCCCTGCCACTGTTATGTGTGACCCCAGGCAAGTTGTTCAGCCTCTGTGCCACAGTACCCTCACTGATGGAAGAGGAGAATGATAATCCTCTGCCACGAAGGGATATTGCGAGCACTAAATGCGGTCATGGCCGGCAAGTGCTCAGCACAGTGCACAAGAAATGGAAGTATACCTGTGTGTAGCACTTCAGAGTTTGCAAAGTATTCTCCTGTCTGCTGTTTGATTCAAGCCCGGCATTGGTCACAGGACTTGAGCAGAAAACATTTGGTTTTGGGTCTTCATTTTTCAGAAGAGGACAGTCGAGGCTCAAAGGGAATAAACGACTTGCCCAAGAATATAAAAGTGAAACTTGAGGAATCTGGGATTGGAGTCCAGTCCTCTGGCTCGAATTCCAGGTTCTGAGGCCTCTACCCCGTGCACTTATACCTGTCCCAGGACCCCTCCCGGGTGACCCTGGGGCCCACAAGGCTGCAAGTCCTGGCCCTGCCTCGGCAGGAAGGCAACACCCTTTCCTGCTCATTCAGCCCAGCATTGAATGCCAGGGGCTGAGCAGTAAATTGAAGCTTGCAGTGGTGCCCCTGTTGAGCCTGGAGGCCCCTGCAGCTTTCTTGCTGAGTTAACAGCAGGCATCAGGCACAACTGAACCAGCCGTGTCCCCAGGTGCTCCTCGGTGTCCTCCGTACTGGGCAACGGGAGACACAAGGTGCTGTCGTGAGCCTGTGGAGGGTGTGGGAGGGGCACGCCCACATGCACGTATGGGGTAAAGCCCATTAACGGCTGCGGTCTGTGCTCGTCCCTTCTGTACGTTTGGCTGAGCCTGGCTGCAGCAGCACCTATGGTCTCAGAGGCGTTCAGGACGAAGCCTTTATTCCCATGATCTGTTAGCACCACACACCCAAGCAGCCACGCAGTCACTCCTATTTTGTGGGGCCCGTAGAAGCATCTTCCTACATGCTGGATTCCTGACGCCTGTTTCGTTTCAGAAGCCCCTCTCTGTTCTCCATCAGGGGCCTCCGGGGGCTGTGATGTCCCCTGCACCTCTGGGAGACCCACACTGCTGAAAAGCAGCAGGGGAGTTAGAAGTGGAGGAAGTGTACCGTTTCCTCTTATTCTTGCCTCACCTGTCAGTTGTCCATTTGCTGCTTCTTTGCTCCAAATCTGTCTTGTGATGAGGGATGGGGAGTAACTTCAGAGTGTGCTTGGAAGAACCCATGGGGTCTGTTGGGTAAGGGCCTCCTTTGCCCGAGGAGGCACAAACCAGCAGTGGGAAGGCCGTGCAGCCCCGGACCACATACACCTCAGCTGGCCCTTTGTCCTCACCAAGGATGGATATGCCAAGACGCTGCTCCCTTGGACCTGAATTTCAGAGAAGGCCTTCTGGGCATGGCTGTAAAGGTGGAGTCTGAACTCCCTTCCCTTCCTGGAGCTCACTGTGAAGGAGCACTTGGCCTCTTTCCCACCGAGAGTGAGGAGGCAACAGGTTGAAAGAATTTGGGGATGGCTATAGAACAGTCCATTGGGGCAGGGAACAGAGACATGCCACCATCTGATGGGACTCACCAGTTCAGTATGAGGCAAGAAAAATCGTTGCTTTTCTGTGCTGTGAGGTCATTTTTTTTTTAATTTTTTTTTTTTAACGTTTATTTATTTTCAAGACAGAGAGCATGAATGGGGGGAGGGTCAGAGAAAGAGGGAGACACAGAATCGGAAGCAGGCTCCAGGCTCCGAGCTGTCAGCACAGAGCCCGACGCGGGGCTCGAACTCATGGACCACAAGATCATGACCTGAGCCGAAGTCGGACACTCAACCGACTGAGCCACCCAGGTGCCCCTGTGAGGTCATTTAAAAGACAATCTTTTGGGGCGCCTGGGTGGCGCAGTCGGTTAAGCGTCCGACTTCAGCCAGGTCACGATCTCGCACTCCGTGAGTTCGAGCCCCGCGTCGGGCTCTGGGCTGATGGCTCGGAGCCTGGAGCCTGTTTCCGATTCTGTGTCTCCCTCTCTCTCTGCCCCTCCCCCATTCATGCTCTGTCTCTCTCTGTCCCAAAAATAAGTAAACGTTGAAAAAAAATAAATAAATAAAAAAATAAAAGACAATCTTTTAAGAGTGTGGGAGCTACCAGGGGGAGGCAGCCAGAGTTAGCATTTTCATTTTACCAAATTGCTCAAAAGTGAGCCATCTTGCCTGTGACCTCATCCTGAGGAGCCAAAGGAAAACCCACCGAATCTGCTGGTTCATGAGGAAACCTGGCGTGTTCTTCATGCCTCTGGTTTTGAAGGAAAAGTCTGCTGACGTTTATTGAGGGCCTGCTACTTGCTGGCCACCGTGCGATGGGCCTGATGTGCACGCTCTCATTTAGTTCTAACAGCTCAGCGAGTATACCTCATAAACGAGACCAAGCTCACAAGAGTTTTTGACTGTTACCCAGGTTCACACAGTGGGGTATGATGCACCAGCATTAGAGCCGGGTCTGGCTGACCCCTCCATTACTTCTCTGATTTTCAGGCTGTCTCGAGGACCCCCATAACTCCCAGAAGCCTCAGGTGGCTCAGGGAACAAAGTGTTGTGTTTTATACAATGGTTTTCTACGTGAGATGGCATGTGACAAAAGGATTCCTCGATCTTTTTTTTTTTTTTTTTTTAATTTTTTTAAATGTTTATTTTTGAGAGAGAGCACAAGCAGGGGAAGGGCAGAGAGAGAGAAGACGACACAGAATCTAAAGTAGGCTCCAGGCCCTGAGCTGTCCGCACAGAGCCCGATGCGGAGCTCAAACTCATGGGCTGCAAGATCCTGACCTGAACCGAAGTCGGACACTTAACCGACTGAGTCGCCCAGGTGCCCCAAGGATTCCTCTATCTTAAAAAAAAGTTTGATTCCCTACTGTCCTTCGTGTTACCTTGAGTCCACGCTTACTGTGTGCTGGGCGCCGTGTGGGATCATCGGCTCCTCACCTGCCCCTGCAGAGTGAGTGTCATGGCCAGGAGGGGAGTGCGCTGCAGAGTCAGAAGGCTCACAGAGGCCCAGCTTTTAGTTCCCAGTGTCTCGGCCCACAGTTCCTGAGCCAGTGGGCACGGCAGGCTCCTCCCTGCCTTGGGGCAAGTGCATGGCCCATCTGTCTGCTCTCTTTCCATCTGTCTCTGCTGCTTCCCAGAGCTGCCTCGGGGCTCTGCAGTGGGGCCGAGGAGCTTTTATGATAATTCCTGTGCTTGCCACGGTACTTACCCAACCATTCATCACCTGGTCTTGAACATGTCTAGTGGCAAGTGTGGAGGCTTGTAAAAATATTTTCTGTTCTCGCAGATGATGTTCACATGTGCCTGATGTACGTTTGTCTTATGACTCAGTTCCCAGTCCTGTTACCCTTTGGAGCTGTCACTGTTAACATTTGCCAAAGTGTCCCAAGTCTACAGAGCAGCTCAGAAGACCTGCGTCCCTCTGGTGGCCCCGGGGGGGGGGGGGGGCCAGGAGAGCTTTGGGCCATTTATCAGATGGCCCAATCTGCTCTGAGACCCTGGGCAAGTCTCCTGTCTGTAAGCCTCAGGTTCCCTGTCTGTGATCTGAAAAGCTTAGACTAGAAGTATTTTCTCGTATTTTCTCCAGCGGTCTTCTGTGGAGCCCAGAAGGTGCTCAGATTCCTCGGTGGTGGGGAAGAGTAAATATTTGAAAAACCACTGGGCCATATTATGTCTAAGGGCTTGATGAGCTCCACATCCTGGCCTCTGTTGCTCTGCAGCCCGGAGCCTCTCCTCCTCCAGACTGGCTCCAGAAGTAAGGGTCTGGTTCAGCCTCACCCAGGAGGTCTGGCTTGGGAAAGCTGGTCCAATCCTCCCTTTGGAGGGGGAAGCTTCTAAAAATTGCAGGAATGTTTCTAATCGAGACCAACCTTCTTCAGTTCTGAATACCCCCCACATGCGGGTGTGTTCCCTCCCTCCCCGGCATGCACGCACGTGTACACACGCACTTTCCTTCAGGTGATCCCTTCTCACTCAGACTATGAGTTGCCTTTAGAACACCAGACTGAATGCTCAGGCCCGAGACTCACCATTGCCCCAGGGTTAAGGAAGGTTGAGTGACAGGGTCAGAGCGCTAGACGGGAGGGGTGCTAGCGTCTGAGAAAGCAGTGAGGTCATACGAGGCTGTGTATGTGTGTGCTGAGTACAGAAGGAGCCAGTGGCTGACGGAGAGAGATGGGTAAGTGCATCCGCCCTGCACGCAGGGCGGGCGGCTTCCCGGCAAATCATACGTAAAGGTCACAGGTGCCTTAGGCAATGGTGAGTCAGCCAAGTTGACACGTCCTTGTCTGGTGGACAGTCTGGTCTGCATCTCTCTGCTCTGGGTTTGGCTGAGTCACGTGGCTCTCGCTGATACCGAGGGGTTCAGAGTGGAGTCATTCAGGAGGGCTGGAGAGGGGGAAAGGCCCAGACAAGGAAACTTAGGTCCTAGGTCTGATCCAGCTCCGCTCCATAACCTTCCACAGCTGGTGCTTCTGTCTAGGCCCCGAGTTCCCCATCCGGTTAATGAGGCTAGGTGACCCCAGTTCCTTCCAGCCGGGGCAACCTATGACTTGTGTAGATGTGGTTTTGTCAGAGCTTCAGAGCTCGGCTCTGTTCTGTTAGCCAGTCCTCTCTCCCCTCTCCACTGGGAGAGCAGAGGGAGCAGACAGGCTGGGGGCTGGGTGCAGTTTCACTCCGGTGCCCCCTGCGCCATTGTGGTTCAGGAGTCTTCGGTCTTTATACCCATGGTCCCCTGGAGAAGGGGGCGTCTTCCAGAGCCACAGCCGGCACCACGCTGGGCGAGCACATCTACCCCATCTCCTTAGACTCAGTGCTGCGTGGAGGCGGACAGACTTGGACTCCAGTTCTGCTGTCTTTCCTCCCTGGGCCTGTCCCGTCATCTGGGAGACTCAGTCGTAGGGTCGTCCCTGGGAACCACATGTTAGTTAAACAAGATATTCGTAAAGCACCGCTGGCACACCGTAACCTATGAGATGTGGCCGCGGTGCCGGCGTTACAGAGAAAGGATGGAGACGACACCTAGCCGTGCCACATTCAGAGCCCGGCCTTGGGAGGTGCTGCAGCCTGGGCTTCTGTCCTTGAAAGAGTATATGTGTCTCTTGACATTGCTCGTAGAAGTCACTGGAGGGGGCGCCTGCCTGTTAAGCGTCCAACACGCGATTTCAGCTCAGGTCATGATCTCACGGTTCATGGGATCGAGCCCCACGTCAGGCTCTGCACTGACAGCACGAGGCCTGCTTGGGATTCTCTGCTCCTCCCCTGCTCGCGTGCTTGCTGACACCCACACCCACTCACTCTCCCTAAATAAATAAAGAAATAAACAAACAAATAAATAAAAATTTTTGAAAGTCACTAGAATAGTTGTATCAGTATTTAAGGCTTAAGAAAAGGCCTTGAGTTGCTCATGTAGTTTTCTGTTTTAAGAGCAAATTAGTTGTTAGTTTGGAAGGATACATGAGAGAGAGATTTAAAATTCCAACGCCCATGTGTAACCTCTGTTAACAGTCTGCTGTTTTGAAAGTGACCAGCGCTGCTATAGAGGGCCTTGGAGAGTCCGACCTGCTTCAGGAAATGGGGTTTTCTCAAACCGGGGCTGTTTGCGACCCCTCCTGTGGTGTTGATACCCAGCACTCGATCTGTGTGGAAGGTCATCTTTGCAGAGGGGTGTACCGAATGGGATACTAGAACCGGCCTGTGTGAGCTGATGGTCAGCACCTCCTTCCAACTCCAGGTTCAGTGATACCATACTGGTAGTTTGAAATTGGCCGTAGTAGGTCTATTTATACCACAGAAATTGGCAAACGCTTCAAATTACATGGTGGTCGTTCCCCCACCCCAGGTGGCTACTTTTCAGATTAGGTCAGCAAAGCTTAAAGCTTAGGGTGACACGGTGAGGCAGTGGCAGAGCTAAGAGGTGAACCCAGGTCATCCGAACTCCAAAGTTGGCACCTTTGACCTCCCCCCCCCCCCCCCCGGGTCATGTTGCCTTCAGTCTTAGTATATCGAGCTGTGTGTGCCTTGGGTGACCTCCTTAAGGTAGAATTCTGGAAGTGGAATTTTGCCATCAGGGAAGGCATAACGCTGGGCTTGAGGAGTTTTTCGGATGACTACTATACCAGGCCTGCAGAAGAGGTCTCCAGCCACACCCAGACTATTCCTTCTTTGCCTGTTTTCAGCTCTACGGAAGGCGGGCCCCCTGGGAGGATCCTGCCAAGTGGGTGATGGAGACCTACCCCTGGGCAGCCAGCCCACAGCAACACGAGTGGCCCCCCCTGCTGCAGCTCCGGCCTGAGGACGTCGGCTTTGATGGCTACTCCATACCTCGGGAAGGGTCTGCGAGCAAGCAGGTGCCCCCCAGTGACGCTGAAGGAGACCCGCTGGTGAGTCCTCCGCTCCCAGAGCACTTACTGTATATCCGTCATCATGCAAGGCATGCTGGGAATACAGACATGACCGAGCCCGGGTCTTGCTTTGGAAGGCCAGACCCATCCCAAGATTAGTCACATTTTTGCCCATATTTTCTTCCATGGTGTCAGTTTTTCACTGTCCTTTAACCCTCTGAAATGTGTTCTGGTATAAGGTAAAAGGTTAAGAATTTGATCCCCCTCCCCGCAAACATCCCCGTACCACTCTTTGCCTCCTGATTTGAGTGCCACCTTTATCAAGTACTGTCCTTCTCCATTTATCTCTCCCCCTAGTAACAGGGCAGAGGCGGGGAGATTCCTAAGGAGCAGAAGCCCAAGCCAACTGATCAGGAGCACAGGCAGGGAGAGGTTTGAGGGCAGGAAGGACTCGCAAAGGACAGGGAGGCCTGAATACGGGTCCCAAGGCCAGTGATATGAGTTAAGCCTTTAACACTGCCTGAGTTTCTTATTTACCCCCACCACTGCTAAAGCAAATAAAGGTCCTTTGAGAAGAACCTGGACCAGAGACGACAACACTATAATTACAGTGTTCCCTGCCTATGAGACCCGTACATAGTCCTACTGCGAAATTACATCTAATAAATCAAAAGCTCCATAAAAGAAGGTGGAAGCACATATCCCAGAGCCTCCCATACTTAAATGACCATTATCATGCCTTCAGTTTACCCTTGAGCTACCTTGGCAGCTAAGGCAAAAGGAAAAACACAACAGAGAATATTACTTGCATTACTTAATGAAAGAACATATTCATAAGGGATGCAGCAGGATTAAAAGGCAGCTAACGTGTTGTTCTATGCCTGATGACTAACTGATTTGCTAGCTAAAAATAACAATAGCTGCTTTGGCTTGTCTGCCATCCTCCCGACTGGCAGCAAGGAGCTGTGGTCCTGTGGAGACTTTTTTTAAACAGGACCTCTGTTCTGACTGGTGTTACTATTTGTTATATGCACGACCTCATTTACAGCGTTGATAAACAACAGTGTTGCAGAAGAAAGGATCTGGCTTGAAGAAGCCGTTTCTAACATTAACGATGGCTGAAAGCCAGAGTCATGGCGAGCTTTTTGTGGCTGCGGGCTCATGAGATCTTCCCTCAGGAACAGAAGAGAACTTAGGAGATATCTAGAGGAAAGAATGGCTCCCTCATCCCCAGACCCTCTTTTCTTACCCAGGAATATTTGTGTCCCTGATTAAACCTGAGGGGATCTAGGTAAAACCTGGAGCTCTTGGAACAGTTACCCAGAATTCTCCCTCCAACCCCGGGCCCTCAGAAGGGAGCTGTGCCAGCTCCGTTTCCCCCACTTTATAGTTGCTGTTTCTCCCTGCCCAGTGCCAGAGATCTCTGTTAGAATAGCTCTCTTGTGTCCTGGTCTGTCTCCCTCATGAGACTGAGACCTCCAAGAGAACAGGACTGACTGGTTTTTGCTCCAGAACACCTGCTGTAAGTGCCGGGGCTCCAGGGGTGGGTTGATGAGTGAGGAATCACGGCCGCAAAGGATCGTCCATGGTGCCACAGCTCCATCTCTTCCCCCCTCGCGGCTTTGCGGGTAGGCACCAGCAGATGGTGTTCCCGTGCCCTGGCTCACCCTAGGACGCCGCACAGCATCCTGAGGGCCAGCTGGCGAGGAAGCAGCTGGATTTCCTGCCCAGCTGCATCACGTCCTGGCCTTAGCTCAGAGAGACCCTACTTTCTAACTTACTTGCTACATAGAACATAAAATACCCAATTGACGGTTGCAAGTAAGTTCCCGGTTCCCCCCTTCACTCCTAAACAAATGACCAATAGAGTATAGACCAGGGAAGGTTGGAGGAACACCCTTCAAGCTCTTTAAGGCAAAGGATGGCACTTGCAGATCTCGTTTATTGAGCACTTAACCAGGCGCCAGGCCCTATTCTGACGGTCTGATGCACATCACGTCATCTTGTTCCCTATTTCAACCCTCTGAGATACAGGCGCTATTGTTCTCTCCACTCTATCGATGAGGAACTGGTGGCTCAGGTATCTTAGGTAATTGTTCGGAGTTCTCTGACTTGGAATCCAGGTTTCTGTGTCCCTCGTGGCTCTGCTTGTAACCGGTGCTGACCTTTCTCTCCCGTGGCGGCCTTGACAGGAGCGGGCACACGGCCGGCTCCGGGCTGCCCTCTGGCCAGAGCCAGATGCACCCATGGGCTGGATGCTCCCTGAATGGGGAGCCGTGTGCGTCGTATGTCAGCAGCAGGGACGCTGGACTGGCATCTTTATCCAGTTTGAGGCCCGTGTTTGAGTAAAGTGTGTCCCTTCCAAATAAAAAATAAATCCTGTATTCATAGACGACTTCCTATTTTGTTTTCTGTGCTCTACATATGTGAACTCAATCCACACCATAACGTTGTGGGACACGTACGATTATTGTTCGCCTGTGGCCAGTGAAGAAACTAAGGCACAAAAAGGTTAAGTAACTTACCCATGCTTATGCAACTAGTAAGTGGTAAAGACAGGATTTGAACCCTGGAAGCCTGGCCCATAGCCCACACCTGTGTCCACAGCCCCCACTATAGGCGGCAACCCGGAGCGAGTGTGGAGGGGGGTAGCGTGAGCTTGGAAAAGGCCAGAGGTGGGCAGCTGCCAGACTGAAAGCTGCTCATGCTCTCCCTCTCTCCCCAGATGAACATGCTGATGAGGCTGCAGGAGGCGGCCAACTACTCCAGCCCCCAGAGCTATGACAGCGACTCCAACAGCAACAGCCATCACGATGATATCCTGGACTCGTCCCTAGAGTCTACTCTGTGACAGGGGCCAGCCATGGAGCCCGCCCACCTCCCCCGGTCCTTGCCCTGCTCCACCTGCGTCCCCTGCACCATCCTGAACATGCCCTCCTGAGCCAGCCCCCCAGCTGCAGTGTGAGAGCTGCAGGGATACCCAGACCCCTCATCCTCCAGCCTTGGCCCCGGGTGCAGGCCTCCCGGGCCGGCCGCCTTGGGACCGCTTCCTTCCACAGTGAGAACTGCACTATCTTCCGTTTATTTTAATTATTGTTTGCCTTGTTGCTGTGACCTCCCTAAGACACTGAAGACACTTCTCGGGAAAGGATTGTCACCGTTGAAATGAAAAGATTATAAAAGAAAAAAAAAAAAAAAAAACAAACCAAGAACCCACTAGAAGCTCTGAAACCAAACAGCATCCTGCCAAGGAGCTGCCCAGGGCAGAAGAGGCCGGAACCAAGCTGGAAATGTGGACTCCCTAGCTTCCACTCAGCCCAGAAACCGCAACCGGGTGGTGTCGCCAGCACCCCCGCATCTGCCTCCCCGCCTTCGTCCCCATCGACCCCGGAAGAGAACTGTGTTAACTAGGGCACTACAGAGCTACAACACAGGGAAACCTTAAGGAAAAGCAAAGCGCGCTTGCTGTTTTGTTTTGCTTTTTTAAATGGTGCTCTCCTTACCCGAGAGGTATTTTGCCTGTTCCAGTTCAACCACACCTTTCAGATCCATCAGCCTCCAGTCGATCCCTACGTGTGAGCGGAGCGTGCGCGAGCCGATGTGGCCGCGGCGCAGACGCCACGTGTCTACTTCCTCCTTCTCTAGAAATGAATCAGGTTTTTCTTTCTGCAAACACTGTGTACAGTGAGAATTGGTCTATTTTGGAGAACTGGTTACCCCTTTGCCAGTGAGGTTGAGTTTCCCCCTTTCTGACTCTTTGATTTTGAAGATTTCCCCCCACCCCCCAACCCCAGCCCCAGCCCC